TCGATCTTGAAATGGTAGCTTCAATCGAAAGGTACAAAACACTCTGGGCGACCTTCCGTACTTGATAAAGTCTATATCCAAGATTTATTTCATATTAACACTGAAGGGATTGCTGAAATACCAAATGTGGACATTTCGACTGCGTTTCGCTATTTAAAGTAAATTGGATGCACTTCAAGCACACTATACGGGTTCTACACGTTTTGAGAAAATGAAATAAGCTCGACCATGTTTATGGCCAATTTTTTTACCCTGAGTCCGAAAAATCGATTTTTTCTGGATCAAGTCACTAATGGATTTGCTGGAAGAATGGGTATGAAGGATTAAAATCTATGGCGAACGCTTAACTGAACTTATTGAAGGGGTTATGTTTTAGTGAATGCTTGGAGTTGTACCAAAGTAAGTGCGGAGGGGCCCCAAGAGGTTGCTGTGGGTCCCAGCATGGGGTCTTGAACCACGCCGGGCCCACGGAACCAACCCTGGCCGGACTACGTTTGCCTAATACCCACAATGAAGAAAAAAGATAAGAGAAGACGTGGACACAACCGTTTACTTCTGAGCTCAACCAAAACTGGTGTCATTGTGTCGTGTGTGAGGTTTGCGCGTGTGTATTTGTACCTCGGATGTGTGAGTCATACATGCGCTAACATCGAGACCTAGGTGTGAGGATAATCCAAGATAAATGTTTGTGTTAATGAGGGGGGAGTTGAGGATCCCCGCGGGTTGCGACATGCTGCGAAAAGGGGGACCCTGGGATCAGCGCTATTCACCCAGGTTACTGTTAAAAGCCAACAAAAACGTTTGAAGTGGTTAATCGAAAGGGTGTCATTTATTAACACGGCTATATTAACCCACGTGTCACTCAATAGGCACTGCGAAACCTTTGTAATTAAAATTTTCATCTGTTTCGCTCCGCTTAAATATTTTGGTTAGCGACAACGATTAATGTGAAAACTAAAACTTGTAAAACAGTCATAAGAAATGGTGAATTGGAAAGGCATTGTTTTTAATTTGATTTCGGAAGACAGCCTTACCATTTCTGAACTGACCTCAGTGAACCTAATCTTAGTGTTCGTTTGAATCAATTCTGACATTACACTGTTTATTTAATGTCTGACTCCACCACTGTCTCCCACCATCAACTCTCGTCAGAATCGAAATATATTCGGGTGGTGGTTTAATTCCGCCTGCTGCAATTTTCACACAAAATAAACAATTGAAGAAAATCGCAAAATTTATAAGTTAAAACAAAATTTATGCAGTACCAGCAATAAACATTGAGTATTTAGTGTTGACACTGAAAAGCCAAACCAGGAAGCCTTTCTTCGTTTGAGTGCTTAGCACAACTCAACTAATTACGCGATGTTTCTTTTTACCAATCTAGCTTCCGGTTCGGCACATTCTAATTATTGGGGTGTAATTAATAAAACACCACATACCACAAAAACATTTCTTAACCTTAGGCGATCCAAGTCATTAACCGCAATGCTATTTTTGGATGTGGTTTCTGAATTGGAGATATTTGACAATCGAAAGCCTTGCAGGTAATTCGTTAAAAGAATCATCTGTCAGCTTCGATATAAACAAAAAACAACGAAAATGAAAGCGTTTTGAAGATACCTTAACTATATCAAGAGACAAAACTATTTAATGATATTTGCGGGCGGCCACTTTTTTTCTTGGCTACAGGTGCGGATCAGAAGCTTGATTAGTCATAGGAAGATAAGCTCACCTAACGTTCAAGAGTAATTCTTGTGAAAAGGTAATTTGTGAATGGAGAATGATAAGTAATTCAAGACAGGAAGATTAGGCTCATTCGTCATGTCAGTAAATTACGGGAAAGGCACTTTGCTAAATGCCAGATTTTACACTTCTGATATTGGTTATGTGATAGAAAATCAAGGCACCTTGAGGTGTTTAGGATTTAACACACATAGAAGTAGATGCACAAAGGTAAACATCAACATCAGCACGATGCATTTAATTAACACGTAAGAGTCCATCATGGTAGTCCGTTCGAGGTTAGCGACCGGTCGTAACTACCTCGGCGCCAATACGCAGTGGTCGGTTAAAACAAGTAAACAAATCAGGCCAGTCGGAGACCAAGGACAAGCTTGACCAATGGGGAAACTGTTTACACATCGCTGATCGACTGACGAGGGGTCCATGGAAGGAGTCAACTCAGTAACAAGAATGTTACGTTAATTACGCCAAATCACCAACCCTCGTGCCTGGCTTCCAAGCATTTCGGACTGCTATTTTATTCAATCAGAATCTACGTAAACACATTATCTGAGGCTGAGTCAGATCAGGTGTATCGTTTCTACTAGGCTAGCCACTTACACAAAATGCAACGTGTCAGCCTTGTTTATACACACGTGTTGGCTGGGTTGGTCAGAGACGTAGAACTCTGCACAATGCTCCATGATGATCTCAAAAGCGGATCTTTCGAATAAATATCCGTTACAGCTCTGCAAAATAATAAAATCACTACGTGAGAGGACTATCGTCTAGAAAGTGAGCTTCGATGTTGAGAGGCTTCACATTTTCATACCAAGAGAGTGCAGGAGACATCAGTTTCAGTGTGGATAAACGCCGTCTGACACACAGTTACAGTGCTTCAGATGTGGAAATCACGTGATCAGACTCAATATGTCCTTTGTGGGATCGAAGATATCAATTAGATAAAACCTACTGAAGTATTAGATTGCAGTTGCCATTTCAGAACTCAGTTCTGCGGAAACCATGAATTTGAAACCTGAGAAATGCACGTTGCTTTCGACATTATCAGCCAGAAATGAGCTGCTTGTGTTAAATTTAATGCTCATAAAGAACAGGCGCATCTTCGAATGCTGAAAAATGTTCGATCGAAGTGTTTCAGACCCAACACTCAAGCCCAAACTTTATACGTTTAAGCTTATAGTTTGCCTCAATATGCAACGGGTATCCAGGGCGTAAAAATCTTAATGGTGTTCTCAAGGATTGTACGCTTCAAATTGCAGATCCAAAATGTCAACAAAGTGAATTTTACATGGTAGGTTAAAGAGGTTCCTAACGATTTAGGGCGTCACATGTCCTGGTAACACCAAATCCTGAGGGAGTGGATCTGATGGTGAGTGGCCATCTCATGGCTCAAGCCCTTGATGGCTTTTGTGTTATTTGTCTAAACAGTTGCATTTAGGAGAATACTTGAACAAAGCCCCCGCTCTTCGTAAGCCAATCACATGTAACTTGCTCAATTGCGTGTGTGTGTGTGATTTCCCAAAACACACACTGGATTGTGAAGGTGGTTACAATGAGAGGCGGAACTGGTTCTCATTTTGTGATCATTAGAGTACTGACGAGAATGCAGAATGTAAAGTGGACGCCAAGTCAAGAATTGTGGCTTCGACGAGATTTAAAACACTGCAGCCATTTCCGGCCCAGACGGATAGTTGTTGTGGTGTACCCAGTATCGTTCTGAATGAACAAAAGGGTGTCGCCAGTTTGTGTAAACACTGGCGTCACACGTGAATTAACCGATAAACCGGAAATTCCTGTTTGCGTTTATAACACGTTCTTACAAAAACCATTCAATTCAGCTTATGAATACGTTTTATCAGATGATATTGCGAAATGGCGAAATTGCTATGCAGTCGAATTTCCTGCAACCAACTTAGCATATCTGTCACGTTTCATCAGCTTGCTTTAAGTGCTGTTTAGTCTTGATCACCAGGGCATCTGAGATTTTTGAAAAAAGCACACAGACCACGTGTCCACAAACAACTCGAAATTTCTTTTTGGTTAGTGCCAAACAGCTTTTTTATTGGCTTAAATTATCAATGCTTAGATCGCGGAAAATGATGCATTTAAATTCTGTCAATGGGCATTGATTTCCGGAGAAGAAATCAATATATTTGTGATCATCGGGTGGTACTTTGATGTTTTTAAAGTATCTATTTTTCAATATCCTTAGTGAATTTTTCCCAATGTAAGCTAGACTTTAACAAAATATATTCGAATTCATAAAATTACCGCAACATGTCAAAAGATATTGATTTACACACTTGTTATTAACCCTCTATCATTGAATACACTGTCCACATATGGCAGTCACGATTAGGTTTACCGAGGTGAAGGTATAGGATACAGATTTTCACGAACAAGCTAACGAATTCAACGCGTTTCAAGTTTCTAAATGAGCACTTCAAAAAGTATACAAATCGCTCAGCTCTACGGATGCAAAAAGTTGAATTAACTTAAAATCACAGTCTAAGCCTTTTAGACAAACATTACTGTCACTACAAGTTATTTAAGCTATGAGAACTGAACGACGACTCCATTCCCAGCAATCAAGATTGATGTGATTGATAAGGCCACACACTGGTGGCATTCAGTATTTGATTATTAGGTGTGGAGCCTAGGTCGGGATAAGTCTTGTTAGTTTTGCGCCTTATTTGAATCAAACATCTCCCAGTAGAAAAAGACAGAATAGTGAGCCAAGTAAAAGCAGGAGAGGTAGAAGCAATGCCAAATGTCGCACCCTTAGATATAGATTAATCGCTTCTACCGATTCACAATAACAACACAGCGAGCAACGTTTTCTCACTGGTGATAAGCATTATTTAATGGTGAGAAATGGACAATAAAAGTTGATTCATTTTTGTCATCCACCCTTCCTGACCTTTTGATGAAAATCTAAAAGCTGGACTGTGAACGTAAGTCTAAATTGGTCGATATTCACCAAACACACGGTCAGTCGAAACTACACCGCGCTTACTGACTGGTGTTGATGGAATAATTGTTGACATTCTTCAGATCAAATCACAATTCACTAAAGATTTACCCAGGTACATGCGCTTAATGGACTTGCGGCGAGGTTCGCACCATCACTCGTTTACCTGGACAATGTTCACCCACAACTGACCAATGGCATTAAGCCTGAGATTTGGTTGGCCAGGTGGTCGGATCTTATCCAGCGCCTTGGCGAGCCAAACATTCGACATTTATTTCTCACACTGATGAACGGCCGTCGAGTTGCTCTCATCGCAGTCCTCTTTCTTGTTGCCGCAGCAACTGTTGGTGCGCTCAAGTGTTACCAGTGTGAATCGCACACCCAGGACGGATGCTACCCCCTTGACACCAGACTCATACAACCCACTGACTGCGGTCCCGAAGCCAAATCATGCACCACCCTTCGACAGGCAAGTTGTCTCAGCACTGCTCTCAAATTCATCACTGTTAGAGCGTCATGCATACATTTTTTTATACCTTAGGATGCTGAATTTAAGATAATAATCAACAATCAGACTGAGCCACGAGTGCGCTATGTAAGAGGCTGCTCAGTAGAGCCGTCAAAATCCTCGGTCTACTGTATCGAACGGGCTGGAACTGGGAGTCACACTAAAAACCGGTTCTGTACATGCGACAGCGACGGCTGCAATCCAGCTAGAAGGAGCGTCGAAGTGGGATTTTTTGTGCTGGCTATTGTTCTACCTCTAACCCACGCACTACTTTAATTTCGGCGAGCTTGTGTATAGAAAATAGAGAATGTGGAACACTTGGTCGATTGTTTCTACATATTCAGTGTTAGATCATACGCCCTTTGCACTAAAATTTATATGACCCGAAATTTGACCGGATATTTGACTTCTTCATTGTTCTTCGAAAAACCAAATTGTTTACTGTAGAAAACATAAATAATTAGTTGGGTTACTTGTGCACTTATTCTCAGGTAACTGGGTGAAATTCAGGTTCAGTTGGTAAAATGCTAAATAAGTACTTAATGTTAACATCGTAGAGGTCTGAAGTTTAATAAAATGACTGACATTTGGAGATATCTGACGGCTTTCATATTTTGTCATTCAAATGGTTATGTCCAAATGACCTACCCGAAATCTAAGAGCTACTAGAACCTGTGATCTGTCTAATAAAATTATTCAATAAATTGTAGTCAATTGTGCCTAATCAATGATAGGTATTTGGGCATTATGGATGTACCTGATGGGATTGCCATCTGAATCCACATTTTTCATCGTCCATCATGCTTGGGCAAACTACCTCTGCATGCTTGGCACAATTTCATGTGGTGTAACTCATGTTAACTTATTTGCAAAACAGGTTTGAGTGTTTTTCTGTTTATAAACCTCTGCTATTACCTTAGAGAGGCTTATTGTAAGGTATCGGACAAAAAAGACTATGTGTACACTTAAGTCAATACGTCATCAGACACAGTAAACACATGCAAGCGTTTGCCCTAGATAAAGAAAGGTCAACCAACAGTGGCAACTACGTCACGACGCAGATAGGATTTCAATTTTAGCGGCATAATTCGGTTCGACCAATCGGATTGAAGTAGAGTGCATGTAAGCTGGAGATGAATGGTAAATCTGCATCCAGTACCAGTAAACATAAACCACATTTCATGGGTTCAATCCCTGTCAAATTTTTAACTCCGTCGAAGCAGCAGTTTGTCTTGAGGCAGCATTGCGTTTTACCGAACCAACACAAGCCACTGATGACACTGATTTGGAGGTAGATTTGTATACCCCCATATTCTGATTTCTGGACGAGTACAAGGTTTTCTTGATCTGTTGGCAGAAGATTAGGTTGAAATTCAAATACGGACTTGGAAACAAGCCACACTAGTCGAATTCTTGACTCGCTAGATGATATCCCTCTGTTGAATCTCTTAGACAGTCGACTACCAACTTCTGCATGCCTAGTTAATTTCAAACGACAATGGATCCTCGCGTTTGATCCATGACAATTTCCGGTTGATTATATGAATAATCCGAAAGGGGTGACAACATGACGTTTTAGAAGCTAGTCGCTAATATTCGTTGCTTTGCGTAAATCTTTATTTCATGCAGAATCTAAATATCAATGTCCTTAAAGTGTCCAATGCACCCTAAGATTTCGTTGATTCATGCACTACTCAGCCATCTCTAGCTCATTTTTATGGCGGGCCTTTTCAATTTTGACCTTGATCTGGTCATCACAAACTTAAGTATGTGGACCGAAAAGGCCAACGTAACTTTTAAGGCAATTCTTACACGTACCTTCCTCCAACGTGGCTAAGTGCAAATGCGTGATTTGCGGAAGACAGCAAACGTGGTTTGGGATTGTGCCAGAGTAACTTTAGTGGTAGTTACTGTCAACCTCTCAACATAGCACCATGAAGGATCCTATTTCCGGTAACTAATACCTCTGGATGCCAACTAGGGCAGCGTCAAATTCTCAACCTTTCAATAGTTAAACGATCCTCTTTGAGCTGACAGATTCTCCACTTCCCCTTTATCTGTACGCTACCCGAACTAAACAGTGATTAAAAACCGTTTTATACTCAATGCCTGGTTGGTAAAACAATACAAACCGACATCCTACCTGTTAAAACCACTTTTGGCACACATATAAGTAACTGACTTAAGCTTACAAGTGATTAAAGAAGCACAACTACGCTATTCTAGGCAAGCCCAGAGCTCACAAATGGTGCCCCAATTGAACGAAGTTTATTCATAGCACAAGGGGGCTTTAGTAACAAAAAAAACGTTCAACAAGTCGTGAAATGGCGAAATATCACAAGAGTCGCAGTCACAAGTGGATCCGCGACGGGAACAAGTTCCAACAAGTTCAAGTGAGCATTAGTCGGGTGGGCTGCCTTAGGATCTCTTCGCCCTCGTCCTTCGGTGAGTTTTCGATGAGCCATCGATGGCAGTTGAGAGCGTCGTCTGTCGACTCGGTTTCCGACAGCTGCAGGCTGGAGCCCTTCAAGCGATCGCCATTTTGCTGTGGGAGGGTAAGACATTCAGAGGTGCGCCGCCATCTTACCGTCTCGGGGGGTTGCTTTAACTACAGGAATCGTGAAAGCAGCGTGGAATTAGAGCGTAGCCCGTCAATTTGAATAACAGTTCCCGCTCCCAAAAGCCGCTATGCCGTGGCACGCTCAGTCAACAGACGAAGGATTTTTAGGTGTTATCCGTAGTTTACTGGAGTTACTGCTACAGTTCGAGAATGAGTAGCTCCTAACCAAAACCAAATCGACGACCACTAAGACAGTGGTTAGAGCTTTCTGTCTGACGAAATCGTTCCACCTAAATTGAGAGCGCGTACATGCAGAGGTGTGGGAAGCACACGGGGAAAAGGCCGTTAAGACTCATCAAGCAACAACTTGGTGATTTTCTAACTCGTGCACTTTCATTTCACTGTTGGCTTTCTAAGGCGCTACTTCGATGCAACCGACAGAGGTGTATAGATGACATAGTGACAAATACCGCTAACGCGTAACCTGAGTGTTTGTTGACGAATGCTGAATTTGGATACTTGAAAAAAAATACAAGCGGCGTACGAAAATATGCGTTTAGAAAAAACTGTAAGACGGCAGCAGCGCTTCCAAGCCAAAATACTCCCACTACTATGGCCAGAAATGTGGTTTGTAAGAAATAACGGTTGTGGATGGGTGGAAGCAAATACCCTGAGCTGACCACGTGTTTGAAATTATGGACGTGATAAAAAGCATTTAAGTCGCTACCTTCGTTTGATGCACTTGACACTAATTCTGAGTCCCAGGCTTCTTCCACGACTTTCACGCGGTAACACACGTGTACATGTAATCGGCGTGATATTTCACTACCAACAGTTGAAATACATTGTGGTGTTTCAATGTACCCCGCAGACACCCAAGGTTAACTGGCCAGCACCCTTTGACTGCACTACATGCGTTTACACGGAGGAAAGTGGCGCATCGAGAACTTACCAGCGACCGAGACCGAACGATACTCGGAGATTCGGAGGCAGCAGCTGGTTGAAGACTGCCACTAGGTACGGGGGAAGACGTAGACGGGGACTCGTGGGAGGGAGGGGTTTCACCACCTGGCGTTGTGAGTGCGTCTGCCTCCACAGGGAGAACGGCTCCGGACGCCAGAGGGGTGCGGAGCAGGGGGTTCCACAAATGCAGATCGAGGTTAATGGAATTGACCAGGTGTAAGCCCGTCCAAATACCCACCAGTGGGCTAACCCAGTACACAAAAAGGTGAACCAGGGGATGGCGAGCCCTGCCGAGGCCCCAGGTCTGGACCACTGCGTTCACACCGTTCAGGTAGGCACCAGTGAGAGGAAGACCTGGAAAGGGAAAATGCAGAAAGTGTATGGCGCAAACTCTGTAACAAGGGAGGCCGTTAGGGAGGCGCAAGACGGCTGGGATTATGATAGGCAGATGGATATAACGGACAGTAGCAGTTAAAAAAGCAAGTTAAATTGAGCAAAGCCTTACACAGATAGATGATGTAGAGGGCCGTCGCCTGTCGAATAGAAAAGGCGACAGTTTCGTGGAAGAACCACTGTTCAGGTGGTTCGGCGCTGCTCTTGCTTTTCCGAAAAGCTACATACGCTGTCAGTGCGGTGTAGAGAACAACATCAACGAAGGCAGCCCCGGCTTCAATCAACCCGCCTACGATGACAGGCACGTGTAGGTCACCGAGTTCTTCAAGCGCTATTCCGGAGCCCCTACTAAAAGGGCCTCCTTCGCCTTCTCGTTGAAGAGCTTCTAGGATGATGGCCTTCTGGTTGAGGAGAGAGGCGTGATGAGTGGTCAGGCGTAGTCCCCACCAGGCGTAAGAGAGATAGAGGGACGCAAAGGCTCCAACAAGTTGGAATACCCAAGAAAGACATAAACCCCGCAGATTTGTCTTCTTCGTCATGTACCTGTTGGAAGAACGAGCGACAATATCCGATTACATCGATTTTTGGAAATAATTAACCAGCGAGAGGAGGCAAGTGGATCTAGCAACACGATGATATATCGCGGCAAGCGCAGCACTAGTGAAATTATCACCACTTAGACAAGCGTACGCATTCAAGCATCAATTGATTTGCTTGAATTAAGAGGCGTTTGCTCACACATTTAAAACCTTGCCTTCTGATAACACAAAAAAACCACCACCACTACTCTATACGGGGAATAAATTGTCACGCATAACTGCTATGCACACCGACGACCAGGGTAATACAAAATGCTCGCCGGAGTTCTACTTCACCTCTGCATACGCTCCCACATGCCCATTTCCTTGTGCGCAATTGCAGAGTAATCTCCGGACTAGCAAACTTTACGCCGATTCGTCCCACATGCTTTTTGAAATGCCCTATTTATGCCGGTTTACCCGCAGAAGGCACTTCAAGTAAAAGTGCCGAGGGAGACAATAGACGGAAGAAAGGGACCTGTGCGAATGTTACAATATATCTACCCATAACTTGCGTAAAGAGTAAATTAGAGAAAAAAACTTTGAAGGGTGAGGATTATGGTGCAGACGTGGGTGAACCGCTGCAATGTCTAAGTCTAATTGCCACACAGCTGACAGAAGGAATATCCAGGCAAAATTTGGCTTGCCAGGGGTCACCAGGATTAGATACCTCCATTTAGTATCAATGTACTAGCTGAGTGAATTACTTTTAAGAATAATTTCTATTAATGGTGGTGGGCATAAGTTACCTTGGTCTAAAAAAAGCAAATCGTAAGCGACCATGAACTATGATTAACGTTAAAATGAGTAAAAGTGAACGACATGCCTTTAGAACGACCAAAGCTGGCTCTATCAAGGTAAATTCTGGGTTGAATTTCAATTTCAACCGAAATTAGTCATTAGTCATGATAAAAGACTTGAAGGATCGTAAAGCGACAATCACAGAATGCGTAAAATAAATTTTGAGGACTACCACTCCAAAACAGTGTGAAATCGCAATAGAAATTGCCGTAGACCAGATAAATGCCGACGTCGCTTACAGATGCTGGAAAAGCCAGAAAACACTCTTGTCAGCTCTTACCGCTGAACTGGGTTTACCTCGGCGAAATCCCAACTAAAGCAGGCCGACCATCGTTCATACGAGCGAGGCACTCAAATAAAATCCCCCTTTATACTTCAGTAGCCATCCAAGTTGAATCACTGCGTTACAGATTTCTGTAGAGCTCTCATGCTATTATAATACGCCGCAGACATCTAGATGACAGATAACAAGTGGACGCACTTTCTTCTATTTTAATGCAAGGTTGATTTTAAATGAACGCTAAAGTAATTAAAGAGTGAAGACATAAAAAAGTGAAGCATAAGGATTACGCAAGAATAAAAGCTGAAAAACCTTAGATGTGAGCATTTTTCAAAATAATCTAAAGAAGATGAAAAAAGCGGAGACAAGAAAACTGCGTTGTGACAGACCGAACTGAAAATGCCAAATGGTTATCACGTTGAAAATTCCACACATGGGCATTGCTTAGCCGAGAAAGTTGGAGAAGCGAATAAACCGAACGAAAACATTTGTACAGCTAAATACCGATTCGCAAAACCAACAGCAAACCACGAGTAGAAAACCAGGGGTTACATTAGTCTTAAAGTAGTGCAAAGGCATAACTAGTGTAAAATTTCAGCCGAATTATGCTGGTATCTCACACCGACCTAAAGGAACGAAACGTGGGGCTAAATAGATATGCCATGAGAAAGAAAACGGCAAATTCGGTCATAGGAATGGCTGGAATTTAAACCTGTAGACTCCGGAAAACCTTTGGAGAGTTACCATGATCATGCCTATAAGTTTGAACTTACGAATAATAGCTACCTATAGAGAACATAAGCTGATCAGAAGACCGCATAAATAAAGCAGAACGCAAACAGTTCCACCTTTAACATTAGCCACAAGTGAAAACAATGATAATGCAATTCACTTACCGGTAAAAAACGTTGCAGGGCGAGCCAAGAGCATCATTCCAGGCCAGCTTTTGCATCAAGAGGCCATGGATACCAATGGCTACCAAAACAGCACGTGTTCCGAGAGCCTCTCGAACGATGGAATTTTCAAGACTGCATGCACAGACCTGGAAAGATCCTATGCCATCCTGAAGAGCAGTATGAAACAACTGGCTTTTTCCCTGAGTTTCGCCTTCACGCGCTGTGACATCGGCCTGCGGTTGCTGAAATGCCTTTAAAACGGGTATATGTATTTTTGTTGGTTCACTGAACAACACATATAGGCGGCCGAATACAAACACCGCGACTCCTTTCGATTCTTACAGTCTCCCTAGTAAATTTAATTCACGATATTTACAAGCAATTTCAGAAGTCGAGAAACCAGCAACAATACCAAATACATCTAACACATACGCGCATCTCGACGTTAGTGACGCAATGGTTTCGTAGTAAAATAATAATCCTGAGCTGCTCCAATCCGAAACATGCTAAATAAACTAATAGGAATGATATCAAATTAAATAGAACAGCAAACACAATTGATCCACTGAATCTGGTTCATATACAGCCAACCAAATCACAAACTTTGCATTCACATGTGCTTTTATATCATTAGCAAAATATAGCATTGGCTACCTAGGCACATATAACAATAAAAGCACAAACAATTCTGAACAAAACGACCTCTATTATGACGACATTAAAAGAGGAAATCAGCATTTACAAACTAATCCTAACTGTATTAATTTCTGTTTCACTTTATATAGTCACTTACATTTAGAAGAAACTTCTTAATCAGTTGTCCACCACAATACACAAGAAGACAAAAAAATAGAGAAAACGTTAATGCCCATACGTCTTCGATTGTTAACTCATCCATTAAACAGGAAAAAAAAATAACCTACAGAAAGACGTAAAACGAGCACTGGATCAACTCACGACGTTACAATAAGACAAATCGGATTCTCAACATTTCGATCAGGTGATACGACGAACGCCCACATTCAACTTAGGATCATCGTAACCAATTACAGGGGGTTTCAAATTTTTGGAGCCGACAGCAGTGAAAAAGGCCAGTTGAACACCGTATCCAACTAACAGAAAAAAAATAATATGACAGTTTGGAATAAATGTAGGACTCCATCTGTAATTTTTCGTAAAAAATATTGTTGAAAGTTTGCTACTGCGTTGATAAAGAAGTGATACAATTTAAAAATTGCTGGATTCAGAAAAGCTGAAGCACCAATTCAGAGCAAAAACAACTTAAAAAATACCAAAATTGTAGAGATAAAAAAAAGAATCTCTTTCACAACTCTCTTTGTTAATAATTTGTTAAGTACAGGTAAAACACATTCGAACTTCGGAGTTATTAAAATGACTAATTATACTTTGTTAAGCCTGTACTTTGTTGGGGAGTGAATTTTAAAAGTCTTTTATTATCACGGAGAATAATGGCTCAATTTTGATTGTTGTTCAGGTTCTCATATCGCTGTATCTTAAGTTGATAGTCTAAAATACAGAAGCTAGCTAATTGGTACAAAAAGTATGCAAGACATCCCAATTTAGCAGCAGTTCATATACTATGTAAATAAACATAAAGCTTAGCACATTTCGTCAATATTAGTAATTGTTAGAAAGTTGTCTTATAACAGATTTTCCATTAATAAATTCACGATTTCGAAAATATTTTTTTTTATTAAACTAAAATCCAAATATGTAAGTGCATTCAAATCGATGAGTGTAGGTTAACTTCAATTTTGCACATATTTCCTTAGTAAACTGATTTTTTATTAGATCTGGGTAACAAGGCAAAAGACTCAGCACCACTAACTAAGAATTTCGGTAACCAAATTAAATATTTTATGAATAAAACACGCGGGCCTTCATGGAATCTATGATTTTGTAGTGAATCCTATTGATTCACTTTCGATAACTTAGCCTCGTCGCAGCCTTCAACACAAGTACCCTCTTTCCACTGCGTGCCCATCATCACGTGAGGCCGTCGGTTCATTAACCCCTCTGCATGTACCACCACCATTCGCCTTATTCATGTGATATCACAGACGACTGTGCTCATTTTTACATGTCCACTCAACTGTATCAGTAAAGTCACACAACTTGGCTGAGCTGTCAAGTAAACGGTCGTGCCTGCCATCTTTGAACTTATTTTCTTCCGTGGTTACTTCCTGTGAGAAAGGGTCTCAACAATTTAATGGCTTGAATTCACCCAACTTCAATCTCTAAAAAAAGTGTTAGTCACTGTTGTTACACCAATTTATAGCATAAATCACATGGCGTTTTATGTGTAAAACGAACCTGCTGGACGTCAACATCGAGGCATACAGAACTGAATGAATGATTTCTGTAATATTAAGGTCTCCGAACACGCATTAAGAAGGGAATTTTCGGCACAAACACCTCCATGTGTTCTCTTGACTAATTTCTTCCATAAACGCCAGGTTAGTTTGCTTAAGTTCGTACAATTTCCTACTTCTAATTTACTGCATGTTAGGGCCTACTGGTACAATGAATCGCTGCAGAATAATGAGAAGGCCGGAATCGACTATGACCAGTCAGATTATTTTATCCTAAAGCACAAACACCTGAATTTCGATGGTCTAATCTATTATGATAAGAGTTGAGACACGAGTAGCTCCAGTTGTGTGCTATGAAAAATAACTGTTTTCGCGTAAAGCAGATGACCTTCAACCAATAGCACAAAGCCCTTTCGTCTAGTGAACCTTTCACATTTTTCAGCACTTCTCAACTTTGCGTCCAAAGAATTACTACTCCTAAGAAGCAAAACAGTAATGGACCGAAGCAAATTCGCTCAAAGTGTTCTACAAATCTCGAAATATAATCGTTCATCACCAAATAGCTTGGCCTACGAGTGACATCCTTCGAATAGTAGCCACAACTCCTAAGTCTCAAGCCTAATAGAACAAGGTGCAAATTTTGAAGTTTAAAGATACCACTTTAGCCACAACCAACATATACGAAAAGTAGCCCAATCTTTGCCAATGCTCAAAATTGAACGCAATGAGTGATCAGACTAGACGCCATTGGACAATAATGTTCACAGTGAAGAAAGTTGTCAAAACCAGTCCGTAATTTGAATTAGAGCGTTGAATGCACGAGTTGAAATTCGCGTCCCATGGTACACAACCACAGAATTTGATACGACTATTGGATGGTCACTTATTTGCACAAACCAATACCAGGGGTTGACCAAAGAGTCCCTTCATTCACAAATCGGAATCGGAAGTAAACTACTTTAGACCACAGAGAAAGAAAACGGACTAATGCCATTTCACTTGTTGCATAGGTAATCTAACAAAAAAACACTAGCGCTAAATGTGTTCAATTTTAGCACCTAGGTGGGGTAAAAAGAAGATACGAAACTCAAACTACTGCTTAGTTAGACCAATAACAGTTAATTTTAGCCCCTAACCGTGGATCCAGGCGCTTTAGGGAATTTTTTATTTGAACAAAAATACTGTCCATCAACAAAAGTAAAAAGTCAATCATATTAAGTAGCGGGAGCCAACAAAGAAGACAGAAATTAACTGGACGAGAAAATCTGCCTATTTACTCGATCTAGAAGGCGTTGATCGAGTATTCGGTGCTGTTTCCGGACGAACACGTACGAGACCAATCCGCAGATGCCAACGAAAAACTCAAAAATAACAAAACTTCGCCTTTCACTGCGCAAGTCACTGAATGAAGTTGGGTCGCAGGCGACCCATACACGTTGACCTGTCTGGTTTTTTCCGACACCGTTCTCACCGTTGAGGCATAACAGTTCGGTGCGAAAGCCAGTTTCTTTACATTCCGGTACAGACTTCTATGAGGCAAAAATGCATTAAACTGATGATAGGGTTGATAAATTGGCTACAAAGCGTATATAAATCACGTGATTCGAACCACCAAAGACAAATTTAAAAAAATTAAGTCAATACAATCCTCGACTTTTAACATGGATTAATAGAACGATTTAGGATACCGGCTACGTAAGGTGTTTGCAACTTAGTGGTACTAAGAGTCAAAAACCACACTTGCTTGCAAAGTATTTTAACCAACTAAAAGCTTATTTTATCCCCTGATTCTAGTTCTATATCTCATCGAGGTTAGAAGCAAATGCCTACAAATCTACATTTACTTCACGCGACTTCAATTACAGTTTGTAAGCTTTTATAAGTCTACCACTGGCAATTTAGTCGGTGCAAGACAATCGTACAGTAAGACTAACTGCATGACCAATAAAAATCAAAACATAAGGAAAAGCAAAAAAAACATTTCGTGAAGATGGCACAAAGTTTGTAAGTGATACATTAACCAAATTATAGCCCACGAATCTTAAAGAACGGGATTGGAAACAAAATCACAGTTTCGATTTGGGAAGCCACAAATGAATAATTTAGATAATACTATGAATGATACCAGAACAACGACTTACCAAATCGACCTGATCACATGGCTGACACGAAGATGTGAATTGGTAGGACTGATTACGGTTACAAGGAATTGCGATAGTAAAAGTAGGTCTTGGTGGGCGTAAGGTGGTAGTTATCGATTCCTCAACAAAAAAGATGATTGAAGAAACACTAGACGTATTGGAGAAGTGTGAAACTTACATAACGAGGACGAGAAGGGCAATGGAGAGGATTCGTTTTGAGCAGTATTCAATCATTACAAGGAGAGGATGAACTAAAACAACAGAATGCTGAGATGAAGCAGTCACAGTTGTGACAGACAGGGAAGGAAGACGATGAGAATCTTGTGGTTGATTAACAATGTGTTCCAAATACAATTTTTGTCAAGGATTTAACTCGGCTAAAGTAGTAGTAAGAGAAGAATGAAAGCACATGAAGAAAGAACTGCAGAGGCTAGCTGAGTTGGGCTGGAAGGGACCAGAACTCTGTCCACCAAGAGGTTCTTGTGCCGATCAGCACATGCCCATTATAATAATCAGTGGCACCCGAGTGACTATCACCAGTAAGAAATAGTTCAAACAAAAAATGCACACATTTGGGGTAAGGCACAAGCACACAGAGCAAAAAATTCTGAAAAAAACAGATCCGTCTAATTTGGGCCGCAAATCTTGAGCCAGAGTGAAATGGTTGGCCAGTAATAATCTTGTACCACCAAACAGGCAACACAAGATGAAAATGTTCTCGGAATAGCAAGACACCAAAGTCGATTGATTCAATTTGAAAACACCAGCGAAATCTATATTCCCAAACTATTTCAGTTTCTAATGAGAGGACGTCATTAATGTAGACAAAACCACGTGCTACAGGATTGCTTCTACTGTTTATGGATGGGCGAATAGCTGAAAATCAGAACGGCCTATTCGTAAACGTATAAAAAGCAGGAGATTTACCAAGAGTGTGTTTAAATAAGAAGAGCATTAGCTAGGTACATGTGGAAAAGGCAACGATCATTTGCATCTGCAGAAATGAAAATACGCTTGCACAGTAGAGAGCGATCTGCCTAGAAATTGGTAAAAAATTCCGAAACGATGGCGTGAAGACGACAATGTTAATAATGAGAAATGTCAACGGTAACTGTATAAGGAATAACCGATAGGTAAAATGTTAAAATTCGGACAACAAGCTTATTAAGAGAACCAAAATCCAAAAGCTTGCATTACAAAACACCATGTTTGATTCAAAATAACAAAGGCATACAAAAAGACGTACCAAACGACTGAGAACTTTAAAGGCGTTTGAAGGTATAAAATATACACCCAAGTGAGCGAATGTGTGGTGTGGCGTCGGATTAGGGCGCAGGCATGTTGGACCACCTGTCCGCAGCCAATCCTGTGTCCCTCTGCGTTCCAATGGCATGCGAGGAAGATAAGCAGCCAACCAGAGAAGGACACAACTGAGGTGCAGTATATAATGGGCGGCGTGGCCAGCGTGGTGGACTCGGATGGAAGGCGCCTGACGCGCGGCTCTGGCTTCTGGTTGGTCAATAAAGCCTGTTCTGTTGTACCAATCTTTTTCCAATTAGGGCTCGGGCATTCTACAGTGGCGTCGGAATGAGGCGCAGACATATTGGACCACCTGGCCTCAGCCAATCCCGTGTCTCTCTGCGATCTAATGGCATGCGGGAAAGGAAGGCAGCCAACCAGAGAAGGACATGGATGAGATGCAGTATATAATGAGTGGCTTGGCCAGCGCGGTGGACTCGGATGGAAGGCGCCTGACGCGTGGCTCTGGCTTCTGATTGGTCAATAAAGCCTGTTCTGTTGTACCGGTCTTTCACCTATTAGGGCTCGGGTATTCTACAAATGGAATGTATGAAATAACTGTGAGCAGTTCAATTTTATGGAGAGAAATAAACCAATCGGAAACGACACAAAAAGATAAACGAATTAGAACTGCTGTAACAACCACTAAAAAAATCAGCTTAGATTGGATTGACATTATGCATAGAAAGCATTAAAAGCAGGAATAAATTGGCCATGTTCGAAATTAATGTTCAGGCATCAACGTGCTGAAACGCATACATATTTGATCATGTTAAAAAGACCCAATCATCAGCCTTTGTCCGTTTGGATATCCTACATTGAAATTAAGCAACCAAACAAGCATGTGGACAAACAGGGAGCTCTACAGATTGATAAGCGCAGCCTTTAAATCATTCGACGAAATCAATCACAATTTTTGGTTATAGAAGAAAAAACAGTCAATAAAACGAAAATTCATCGATCACAACTGTATACAGGCATTTATGCGTCGCCTAGAAATGTTAAGAACACTAAACGAGTTATATGGCCAAAAAATTCATACGTTAATTTATTGCAAAAGACTATGATATCGGCATATTATAAGCAGCGTATGTCAGTCAAATAGAAGATTTTTCATAAAAAAGCAAATGGTTCGGCTATTTATCAAAATTACGAAACAAATTAACAATTCACAAATCATCTTTACCGTACAGGAAGGTGCAAAAGTTAGACCAGGGGTTTTCTCATTTTGAAAGCTTTTGTTGCACCTAAAAACTACTGTTAAATTATATAAATATCTAGCGATACGTTGGTATAATCTCTAATTTGACGTGCATTCGCAATATAAATTTTTAGGCTCCAAGATAACATTGATTCTATGGTCTTTGATTTTATATTTACTCTGTAGGTAAGATTACGTTTTATAAATGTACACAAGTCTATGCACTATATTGTCAAGTTTAACTGTATTGAACGGCGAATACCGCAACAGATTACTTAAATTATGTATATCGTCTATTTATTTTATGCCTAAGCGTATCTCCTTGCAATTTACAAAATCACTTTACGCTTAAATTTGGCAAATAAGCAATATTTTTTTCAAGTGTTTTTAGCATGCACAATGTGAAGTTTGATCCACGCTGACATTAATGATTTGATATTGCCATACTGCATTATTTCATTTTTGATTACCTATTACATGTAATAATATTTGTAATTTCGAATCCTTTATCAGTGCCGAAGAATCGAATTCCACTAGGGCAATTCGAAGCAGTTTACATAGAAATAGTGGAGGACAAGGTAAGCCGATTTAGATATTAGTGCGTGAGGTTTTTTGGTTATCAGATGGATATCATCATTTGTTCCATGAGCAGGAAATTATAGGATAAATTAGAAGGTACAACAACATTAACGACTCCGGTGTGAAAATGGCAGTAACAAAATTGGATTACTCGATGAAATCATTTAATTATCTGCCTAAGTGAGAGTAAATGGATTTTGAGATATATCAGCAAGTAATCAGCGGCAAAAATTTTGTTAAGAAAAGAGAAATTGAAATATACAATCGGTTTAGAGGAAGCCAATAGATGATCTACTCCATGGCTCATCATTTAGGTATAAATTATTTAGCCTGTTTTTCCATAAAAAAGGCACCAGAATTTTTTAAATTTTTATTTGCTTCTGACAAGATTCATTGACAAAAGAGATGTGGTGAGGAAAGGTTCAATTTTAATAGAACGAAATTTATTTAAGGTGATGTCATTTAAAAAAATATATTTTTTGACTCATTAAATTAAGGGAGCTAGAAAATGTGCGGTCATAAAGCATTATCAAGGCCATTGTTAATAATTTTATTTTTGAATACATGGATTGTACGTTAATTAGCCGGTGACTACACGTCACGATTATTTTGAAATTATATCAATATTAAGACATGACGTTAAGCCCACCTCCTTACACAGAAATGACAATGATATCTAAACTAGCAAAGAAACAAATGGTTTGCCTAATTGTTCTAGACTAATTGTTTTATCTAAAACTGCCCAAAGTAAGCCGTACTTTGTGGGAATATATTTTAACTACAATTAGTCGTGGTTTCAACCGATTTTTAAAACCTACATTTACATCATTTATAATTTAGACAAAACTTTAGGGCATGAACATTTATTTTTTAAGTTATTAAGTTTAAATTCATAAAAAAACAATGAACATGAGTATCAACTATCATTAAATATGCTGACTGAACTACAGCTTCAGTGCTATGGAAAATATAACAGCAAAATCATCAAACACATTGCAATTGGGAAAATCAACTAAGGCAATATAATATCACTGTTATTGTGTCTCTTTTGTTTTTCTCAACGTATTACTACAAGTACTTTTTTCAGTAGAATAGGAGTGAATCTGGCACAAGCCGCCCTGCAAGTTTTCACATTTTTCTTCTTAAATGCCTTTTGAAATTCAAAAGGAAAATAGCTGTCGTTTCTTAGCTTTTTAACATTAAAGATTTTGTACAAAATTATTTGCATATAAGTGCCAAAAGTCTAAGCTCCTATTGTGTGAATTATAAAAGTTAAATAAGTCAAAATGAAGATTGAGTTCGTCCTTGAGACAATACCGCTTTTCATAAAATCCAAATTATGGACACCGTATCACGAACACACCTTTACAAATTATCAGAAAGTATATCTCAGAAGACTAAGTGTAATATGTGAAAATTTTAACTCATACATTTAGTCACTAGATCTGAGGTTGAATCGTTGCTAAACATGTATGCAGAAATCGTGACACAAACGGAACCACATATAATGAATAGGAATTTATTCCGGAATCTTCTTTACGTTATTTTTAATCTTACAGAGGATTTCATACTTGACAGGAGTAAGAAGTCCTAACGTAGTCAATTTCAGTTTTTTATGTGTTTGACCAAAATTCAGACGGAGAAATATCAATGGAGGAATGGGTGGAAGGTCTTTCAGTATTTATTCGTGGTGATCTGAGAGAAAAAGCCTACTGTAAGTGCTACTGTTTGCTGTATTTTAAAGTTGCATTTTCGGTATATGACCTGAATGCGGATGCCATCATATCCAGAGACGAAATATTCCAGCTGCTCAGTTTGAGCTTATCTAACGTATGTACTCATTACGCATAACTGAGGCTGATCGAAACTTTAGCGAGCGGATATCGAAGATCAGGAAGACATAATCCGAGACCTTGTCGAATACACCTTCAAACGTCTCGTAACAATATTTTAACCAAATAAGATCCTTTCAGGATTGCAATCATGATGGGAAGGTGACATTTAATGATTACTTTAATGCAGTTAAAGAAGAGATTCTCCTAGCCGAAATCCTAGGACAATGTCTGCCAACTGATACTGTACATTATCGTATTTCCTTTGCATCTTTAGGCATTGGCGGCCTTTTTGGCTACCTTTGAAGAGCCACAGGCGAGAACAATCACACGGAACCCGACCTAATGCAAGGTAAATTGTGGAAAGTGGCTACGGAAGTAAATATCATATTTATAGAACAAATGATGAAAGTGGAGATAGACTACTGCCTCGAGGTCACAATAGATAACATATCTGTACAAAATTCCAGAAATGCACCGTAATGTCGACTGATTAACAGAGCAAATTGGTTACACTTCCTTTGTCCGCTTCTCGGTTTTCGTTTTTTTATTTTTTCCTTCTTTAGCGACCCAATGTGTCGCGGGATTAAGCGGTGTCTGAATAAGGCTTCTACTGAAACAGAAACGCATAAAACACAAAGTCCAGAGGTAGAGCAAAAGAGCCAACCAGGCAGAAAATAGTTTCATCCACATATTTGCCCAGGACTCCATGACCGTTTGGAGGCTGGAGAGCTCAGGACTATAGAACAACAAAATGAATTTGTTAAAACGAAGAGACGAGTGCGGTAAAAATGTCATTTTGGACTTACTTGTACCAGTTCGTTAGCTGAGCCATCATGTAAAGCGATGCGAGGCAAAAGGTAAAGTGAAACCACGCGTAGGAATAGACGGTAAGCACCGCTTCGTTGTAGATTGTGAACTTGTCTCTTGGTGCACGTCGAGGAAGCAAGACATCCACAAATGACACTAATAAAAAACTTGGGTTTATGTAAAGATAAAATTATCGATATAACAAAACTGACAACCATTACTGCAACTAAACAGAACTCCGAGAAGTCCACGTGAAAAACAACTGAAAACGATGTAGTGTCAACTAAAAAAGGTCAGCACGGCTTATTAACAGAGAAAGATACGTACGTAACCGCAGTCCAAATAGCTTTAAGGGAATAACAAAATAATTGTTACTCAAAACGCGAGTAGAAATAACACAAATGTTCCACTAAACTAGGTAAAACCCAAGTCCAAGCATGATTTACTCAAAAAGTGACGAAATTTAAAATTACCAAACTCAAATCTAAAGCGACGTACAGACTGATCCAGCCATATCTCTGTTCTGATGCAGCAAATGCCTGCCTTCCGTCCCTGAGAGGTACTCGGTGACGAAGCGCGCCTTTTCCAGACGAATGTCATCTACAGACATGGCATCTTTGAGGTCTTTTGGTAGTGGGAAAGACGGCACCTCGTAAGTGCTGGTGGGACGTTCCCTCTCGGAGTCCGAAAAGACACGCTTCCGGCGGTGATCGGGAGAGTTTTTTACAAGAGGTGCTCGTGTAGGACCTTTTGCAGGGGCTGGTTTGATTTCACCTAAAATGCAACACAGAGGATAGGTGGCACTTCTAAAATAATTAAAACGATAACAACTACTCAAATGAGGAGCAAGGGTTCAGTGATTTTGACAAGGAATGATGAGTAAAACTAAGCAAAAGCGACTACAGAAAGATTGATTTTAAGCGAATTCAAAAAGCAAAATGTTCCCAGATTGAGTGAGTCTGAATCTAGTTGAGAGTTCCTTCATTTTTAGTCAAATAAAAATAAAGAGAGCAACAGTGACGGCACAAACACCCAACCAACCCATAACAAGAACTTCAATGGCCTTCCGTGGCGATGAGGCCTGCGTCTGAGCCGCACACAGATCAGGAGCCGAGGAAGACGATCCCAGCACCTCGGAGTTAATGCCGAGACGTTTACTGAGTAGTTGCCTGCGAAGAGACACATTCGCGGGCATCGCCGGCCTACGAGTGTTGCCGGGTGGGTCCACACCTGAGGGGCTGGCGCTGAACGACGCGGATGTTGAGTCGGGGCTGGTTGATTCGACCACTTCTTTCAACATTTCCAAAACTAAATATAAAAAAGTAGGTGCATCACACTAGAACCGGATATTTGTGTCAAGATTACAGTGACAATTTTGTTGCCTTGATAACCAACTCGTAATAGCAGCGAGATAAAAGGCTTTTGCCAAAGTGCGGCTTCAATACAGAAGCGAGTTACTATATTTTTAAAGGCGGTAGACAGTGAATTCATAATGCAAAAGACAAATTCCCTTACACATTCCGAGAGTCTTCACTATCAAAAAATGCAGAAAGCCAGTGGCCCTAAAAATGAATACGGTGACTAAGAGGTTAGAAATAGCCTGCCACGTCATTTAATTTTGTCGTTACAATAAATTTGGTTCATAGAAAAAACCCGTCTTTTTGAATGTTTTGCATAATCTGAAGAGACGTCAGGTACACCACCGATAGGGCAAAAATAACGAAAGTGAATCGGCTAATAAAGTAAGTAAATTATGCATTGGCAAACCGTTATCCTAAGGTTGCTAGAACGTCTTCGGGCTTAGTAGCATAAAGCGACGATTTTTTAAAATTTGAGGCATGAAAATTTTGCTCTGCTTTTAATGCTGCCGTTAATGATTCCGTGATTACAGAGCTTGAGGATAATTGCCAGAGCACAAGTGCTAGTAATTTTCCTCTGGCGATCTTGCGAACCATTACTGAATTAAAAATTTCGACACGGAAAACTTAAGGGCAGAAGGGGAGAAATTCAAGAGCAAAGGGCGATTCACATTTGCGCTACACTGGCAGACCATAGCCACTCGTTTTGAGTACCAATATCTTTACGTATTCACAGTTCAGAACCAACTACCGTGTCTGTAAATAAGGGACTCTACAGGAGCATAAAATGGTACGGTTTGAGCGGTGCACATACAGGCGTTTAAGAAAATCACAGATCGATGTGGCTGCTTTCAGCTAGCGACACCCTTGGCTTACCCATACGCCGTCTTCGTGTGCGTCGTTCTGTGCCGAAGCACGTGCAAGACACTGGTGGTCGGGTAGACGACTGTTCGGCTGTTTTGGCATCCACGCAACGTCGATTTTCATCGCCCTCTTTCTTCTCCTCCTCTGCTTGCGCCTCTGAGACCAACCTCCGAATGATTTCCTTCTGCAACACAAGCGATACTACTCTTTTTTCAAGGAAAAATAGACTAAAAAGAATGATTTAACTCAACATAAACCGGGATATTGAGTGGTTATGTGTTACACTAGGGCGTAGCAGAGCGTCAAGTCAAGAGCAGAACACAGTCAAAAGAATAGCATGAGTAAACGTAGAAGAGATGTTCCGTACTATTTTCTGTCGTCGTGTTCTAATCCCCAAACGCTTGGCCTGAAGAGTCGCGCGCATGCTGAAACATCAAGAAAAGAGAAATTAAGGCATGTAGCGTAAAAACGAGGGCCAAAACCATTAAAGTCATCATAATGGAATTAAATGATCAAAATTGGTCTCATTTAATGGGAGCATTACACGAGAGGCAAGGTAGCAGAGACTATAACAAAAGCTACACCACGCAAACTAAACGGATACGCTTCAAATGACATCCGCATTGTTTAAGGTTAAAAAGCGACTGCATTTTGCCGACAACCTGGGCGAATCCACCAGCCCTACAACCTATTTACGCGGCAGAAGTTGACTTACGACTTGCTAAAGATTGCGCCACGAGCTACTGCACGAAGGAATTTTTGCCGACACGTCGTGCACAACGCATCTGTTACACTAACAATCCTTGCTTTGAAATGACAAAAAGTTTGTGCCTTCCTATTTATCCTCAGCTAAACAAATATTCGAGAAACACCACATCCCATCACCAACCTCGAGACAATTGAGCCTCCAACGACGAAGATGATGCCCAGAGCTGCAGCCAAGTCGGAGAGGTGGTCGAGGGCCGTGGCGACGCGGACGAAGGAGGGCAGACAGGCGTTGGCCGTCAGCCTGCCGGAGCGGTTGAGCGCGAGGTCGCGCGAGAGCGCCTGATCTCGCGGGGAGTTGAAGCTGAAGAACCGGATCGCCTGGTACTCCACGGACACACCGAGGACTACAGCTGTGAAGAGGGAAAATCCACAGGTCACGTTAATGAATTGGACAAAATTGCAAACCAATGGCTACAGGGGGGTGCGTTGTAATCATGCATGTGCATTCACCTTTAACGCTCTGACTTGCACTAATTAAAAACTAATTACATTACACCCGAAGTTATGTCTTGTGGCCTAAGTTAAGTTTTGTGAGAACACGGAAAGTAAAATCGGCTATTGACGCGAACAGGGGTATTCAAAATGATCATTTTGCATCAACATTCAGTGATAAAGAGACTTAAACAGTAGTCTACATCCGCAGTCAAGGTATCAGGCTATTTACTTATCACTTTATGCGGTTTGCTTAGATTTCAGCCTCAAAATGGGGTTTGCACCAGTGGCTGATTCCTTTATAAAGTGTTCAAAACACTGGTAAAAGGATATAAAAAACGACTATGCGCTTAACTAGGACTTTGCAGCGATGGTATAGACCAAAACCTAGACTATAACCCGACCGGATCGTGGGAAATCTGCCTGCCATGAGTCAAAACGTGAATAATTATGGAGTTTACGACAAATTGCTGTTATTATCAGTGCACGAGAACGACTTTAACTAAGGATGTTAGATGAATGTTCAAAAACGAGAAATTGTGTTAGTGAAAATATAATCACGAAGATTGTTGGGTACACCCAATAGGGCGTAAGCAACGCGAATCAAGTGCAAGGCTACTGAAGGTCAAAGAAGGCTGTGGATTTTAAAGATCTCAGAGCGAATTCAACACATCAGAATATAGCTGAATGAAGGGAAAACACCGAAATGTCTGCAATACAAGTCCTATAGGTAGGCTATACTTCGTTCCAGGCAGACACTCAACTGATTAGCAGTCTTCTCTAAACTAATTACCGGAGGCAGGTGAAAGTCATGAAATAGCTAACCGAGAAAACAAAAGAAAGGGATGCAACGACATCTCATGTTATGTTTCCTCAGTTTAGCATTGGTAAACGGATGGCCGTCGAATTGTTACACAGGCCTAAGCAGTAGTCATGACGCCATTGTCAAAGGTGCTTTTGGCAATGCGAGCTGATTAAATGACCCAGACGGCTCACTTTTCGGTTGGCTGAGAACAGCAGACCAGGTGAGGTAGGTGGCGAAGGCGGCGGTGACGGCCCCGGGAAGCCACAGTTTTTGATCGCGTACTGAAAAAAAAGGAGCACGGGGGATATGCACGGAGGGGTAGTCAACAGTTTACAACTAGGGTTTCAAGCAACACGGAAGACGAAAGACTCGGAGTACGATCAAAGGGCCTAGACGTCGATGGTAGAGGATCTCCAATAAATACTTGCTTCACCCTAACTAAATACGACTAGTCCTTTACACTACAAATAGGCCATGTGACATTATGCTAACGTGGCTCTCAAGACTGCACAAGTAAAAAAGGGAGAGGATGGGTAAAAAAGTGTTAATAGCGAATCAGCCAGTGAGAGAAAAGTGCAAAAAACAGCATTGACTGAGTCACACAACGTGTGTTCGATTAAACGCACAAACAATCTTGCAAAGGGAAATGGCCAACTTGATATAATGTCCACATCCTGGCAGCGTTTTTAATGCATCTGATTACATTTTGTTCCATTAAGGACTGTCCTAATTAGCTTTGCAAACGACATGTGAGCACAGTTAATTAACACGTCTGCTGCAGTATTCAAAATTAAAAATAGGAATTACTTAATTAGGAAGGTGTTAGTTACTATGGACGCGAGTAAGTGGGTGAATAGAACTGAGGCGCTTCAAATGGCCCACGGCTTGGGACCAGATTCGACTTCGGAAGTCACTGAAAGCTTGAAGTCAATCGCACCATCCAATGAGTCAGATTTGGGATATTTTTTAACAAAAACGTCGGCATTGTAATTGTCAACGCATACACACTCGATGGGAATTTGCGTGTTCTTGACATTCACGACATGTAAATTGGCACAAACGACACAAATTCTTCTCTGGGTACCACCTCGTGTAGTACACATTTGGCTAAAGCCACAATTTTCAATGATCCCAGGGCTACCACGACTCATGCTGCAACCAACATGCACCCAGGACCACAGTCCTCGGGTAAAACAGCCACCTTTGTTCCTCATTCCCAACACTGTGGGAGCAAGCTTGTGAAACGTTAAGAAGAGCCAAAACTAAGCCTCGTCGGTATGAACAACGGAACTTAAACTCTGTGTGCTCGAATCCGTTCGAATGCAACTATTCGTAAAAAGCGAGACTGCGCAGAACGATACGACGTAAGGGGGCCACAAATTCACACAGCTAATCAGGCCACTTGATAAACAGAAGCGCGCTTGGACAAAAAATCTAACCTTTGAGATTCCACGACGACCGGCGCCACTGGTCAATTGAACTGGCTCCCTACTCAAGTGCCAGATCTGACCTGTAGTACGACCCACCACAATCATGTTGGACCGATTAGAAACAGAAGAGTGGTAAAAGCTGCGACCGATTAGTGGCTTTTCTAACTACACAAGGAACACAACGATTCCAGTTGATTCTCTCAAAAAACACCCAAGGAAAGTTATGTAAAGTTGGCATTTGATGTACGAACTTCAAGATTTGCTTGCAAATCAAGTGCATGCGTTTCGCACCTTTCAAAGCCAACAGACAATGAGAGCCTGAAAGTGACTGTACAGCCGTTGAAAGCACCGAGACACCACACAACCGCGTTTTAGTGGAACACCTTTTGTGTGGCGCCAACGAGCGGTTTTTAAGTTAATTCTTGCACGCACACACACACACACACACACACACACACACACCTTATTTGCCAAGTGCCCAAATGTGTGCAGATGAGGCATGTTCTCTTCGATGTACACACCGACAAAAAGCGTTTTCCCGGCCATCTGTAGCCAAACTGATGACATTAATTTGAAGCCAGAGGAGGCCATATTTTCGCACCAGATGAACCTCATCCTGTGATGCTTTCACTCACCTACTTGCACCTGGCCACCTGCAATTAACTCAATCACCACTTCTATTCCACTCGATGTAATCAAACTTGCGCACAATCAACTGGTGGCATTGTGGCCCGAGCACGCACCTACAACAAACAAACACCCCAAGCAAACTCACTCTTGAACTTGCTACGCTTGGCCATGTGCTGAGACCAGTGGGTGCCAGCCAGTGTTGGAATTTGCTTCACCCAAATTGACGACATCTCAACTGGAATTCGCACCTCTGGGAATGTGACTTGGTCACTGCATCACCTACAAATGATGTCTTCATTTTCAAAATTACCACAGCAGCTGCGCCGATATGCGACGTCTACTAAATCAACCATGGTCACCACCACTTCGTGCAGAACGAAACGGGAAACTTTGCAGGCCAATAACAAACACGGGGAGTCAAACAACGGCAAGAAACAAGGCGCTAGTGCAAAGACTACCATGTTTACCCAAGTGGATGGTCACTGAAGCCATTTAAAAAATTTCCATTTTCGAGTTAATTAAGGCGTGGGAGAAGAAGATGCGTCGGACTGGTTGATGACTACAGTGGAGTTGACGATGCCGTCACACTCAGTGCTAGCTTCATTCAAACTCAAGGCTCCGTTCAACAAGCAATCTACTTACTTCGTGGGTGCAGTAATGAAAGTATCAAGAGTAGGGCGGTGATGCAGACGTTCACATAGACGATCATGGCGTTGAGTATGCACTTGTTCTGCAAGCCCCAAATCATCCACAGGACAAAGTAGGCCGCGAAAGAGCCGACGTAGAGCAATACTGTGGTGCCGAATATCACTAAAAGGTTAAGCAAACGAATGACATGACCGAAATCAGGCGCTTGCGCTGACGGCGTGGCTCTGAAGCCCGCTTAGTTAGGTGTTGGTTCACTTTGCTGAACAATGGTACCACTTAGCATTTCTTCATTTTCTCAAATGGCAATCGTTTAATCTGGTCTGTATTTTCAGAGTGCCATCTAATCATAGAACCCTTACTTTGATGTTTTTGACAAAGCTTAGACCTCACCAAACACAACCCATTTGCTGGCTCAGAGTGGTAACTCGATAAAGCAATTCGTCACTGAGGCGCCAATGGAGGTGTCTAGGAATTTACTTTTGCACGTACAAGCAAAGGTCAGTGTCGCATGAACTTGAGGTTATGCCGATGAGTGTGAAGAGCGTTTAGGTGTGTTCAATAAGAACCAACACACGACATGCGTAGTTGCGAGGTCGAAAGAATTTCGACGGAGTAGGCTTAGTGCACGCCAAAGTTGCCAACCACCCGGTGCCAGATCGTGGCTGGGACGATGGCAAGTAGATTGTTAAGGTTGAACGCGTTTTGGAAGCACACGAGCTAAGACTTTTGGACTGCGAGGCGCAAAGGGACCAATCGTTGGTCCATCAAGAAATGCCACAACATCACAGCCAACAGTGTGTCCACAAGAAATCGTACCAATGTACGCGCCCAAAATCCCCAAGTTTGACTCATTTACAATCCAATATCCACAAAGGATGTTGTCAGGAGCGTTGTTAATGTAGCCATTCTTCATGCAGCGAGGATTTTACTGCAGCAATACTCATGCAGAACAAAACAGCGTCATGGTGTACAACAATGACAGATCCCAGAAGCTTAAGATGCCTTCAGCAGACTTCGCCTCCATATCATCAGCTAGATCAAGTAGACTTCTGATAGGCAAAACATCAACATGCCGTTAGCGATTCGGAACATATCGCACGTAAACCCACAGTTGATAACACGCATATGTTAGCAAACGCACCTATCATCGTTTACTTTTTACAGATTCGGCGCGTCTGAGCCAAGAGGAATTAGATTTGTAAACAGGAATTGTTCAAGGGCCCAGCATGCAGCTGCGGAGCTCAGCAGGATACATAAATGCATCAATAGGTCGACTTCAAAGCAAAAATATACAGCAGTGAGCCCAAACGAAGGCGACAGGAAGAAACAACGTTGATGAAAACATCGCACTACGCGAAACTGGAAACACTGTGTGCTAAACACATACGAGAATTCGAATCCTACTAACATGCGAGGTACTGATTTCCCAGTGTAGTGAAAAACAGAGGACTGATCAACACAAAGTACTTTTAAAGACATTCAACTACTTTGTAGCCATGTACGTGGGTTGCAGAATAAGCAAACATAACCTTTGCTGATCTTGCTGGTGCGAGGTGTAGAAATGAAAAAAAACCGGCATCCTGAAACCATTCATAAAATCTGAATCTGTTACCCATGAACCTGGAAAGCTAGACAACATCTGACGTTTGAAGAACAGCAATCTGGACAAAGTCCACACACCAAAATGCACACAAAGTACATCTACGCGTCCGCTTTAGGCAGTGCAGGTACGCCACTTGCAAAGAACTGACAAATTATCGATTTCCGGGAGAAGAAAAGTGTAATTTACCAGACACGACACTTTCAGCGCGAAGGTAGCACACTATGCTAACGAGGTTTTGTGCTCCCGACAGTAGACTGGTTTCGGAAAATTCGCCATTAGCCAAACCACATGCACTGCGCAAGGCGACCAGTTCATTTCTTATTTAAATGAGCCCAAACGCGTGACACGCGACACCCACCTGACAGCTATGGCCTCGTTTGTTCGAAAACCACAAAGTTTGGTTCGTACAGAAATAACAATGGTAAATACCTTAAATTTACCCATTCGTCGTTTACAGAAGCGTGTTGGAAAGTTGTAAGAAAGAGCGAAGCAGCTGGATGTACACATAAGCCGTCTTAGATGGGCTTAATCATGCCAAGCGTACGTATGAGCCAGTAGTCACATGCAGAGGCAAATAATGTTGTTGTGAATCGTGATTATACACCCTCCTCTATCCGGTCGCTCCATCCTCCGACACTGGGTTCCCCTTTTCGCAGCATGTCGCCAGCCATGCGGATCCTCAACTCCCCCCTCATTCACACGGATATTTATCTTGGAGTATCCCCCACACCTAGGTCTCGATGTTAGCGTATCTACGACTCACACATCAGGGGTATAAATACACATGCGCAAACCCCAAACACGACACAGCTCAGAAGTAAACGGTTGTGTCCACGTCCTCTCCGGTCTTTTTCGTCCTCGCGGGTATCAGGGAAACGTAATCGGGCCAGGGTTAATTCCGTGGCCCCGGCGTGGTTCAAGACCACATGCTGGGGCCCACAACAACATATTAACCCAAACTCAAATTCGATCCTCTGCAATCCAACGGTGGCCCATGGAAAACGATATGGAAAACGCACGCACGCGGGCATTCCACTTGCATAACTTCGCGCTTTGCCTTCAGGTATTGTTTAGACCACCATCTGGTGCAAAAAAGGAGTTTATTTTTGCAATTCTGTTGGCTAATCATAGTAGCCTGGCCACACCACGCACACAACAGACTGCGGACACGGGTGTGTTGCACACTCCGGCACTACTTGCCACATCTCACTAAAGCACACTTCAACGCACAGTCATTCAGTCGCAGACAATCGCGTGCAGAGGGCGTACGTGGTAAAAGTACACATGGGGACACCAATGCGATTCTTCCAGAGCAGTCAGAGTTTCTGTAGGTGGCAGGCTACTTAAACATGACGTCATCTAAAGCACTCAACAGTTCGGAAAAAATGAGTAGTCCGGACATTCACGAAATACTGCTAATAGTAGCAACAATTAGAAAAGGCGATGAATTTAAGACTTACGTGTTTTATAAATGGGCTTAGAACTGCTCTGCCGAAACCTGAAACCCAAACAAATTGTATTAAGGGCTTTCTACTTGATGATAATCACTCAAGTCTGTCAGACGGTACTTCACTATTCCCGATGAAGCACTTTGAGATAAACATAAATCTGATCTAACACGGGTACACATAACTTCAATTCGAACTCTGCTTCCAAATTCCAGCATCTCAGAGCAAGTTTAACTGGTTTCGAGTCAAAGTGCACCTCAATTTTACATACGGGGAGTCAGTGAACATGATCCTGATAGCCTGTGCTGGCAGTAGCTCTATTGTTCAACCAAAACGCATATAGTACTTATAACGACAATTTGAGCGTGCGTCATCATGAAATCGGGCAGCACAAGACGTTTAGAGAACCTACCAACCAGCCAAACGTTGAAAGGCATTTTACAGTTACGTATGTTTTGAAAAGAAAACGAGCCAACTAGGAGAAGGTGATATGACAGTACGGTCAACGTTAAAGGCCTAAGGGGTCACACCTCACAGGGGCAAGTCGCATGACACAGGAAAACAAAAACGTTAGGTGCACTGACAAACACCTACCAGGTTCCGTTAAACTCGTACGCGTAGTCAATGAGGAAAACATTTTGCACGTAGATAAATGCAATACCTCCCAGCACAGCCATCAGCATCCAGGCTATTCGGGAAAAAAATAGCATTAGGTGCAAGTAGTTAGTGGATAGGTTCCAAGCCAACGAAATTTAGCAGTTAGCTTTAGCCCATGGTTCCCTCATATAACAAATCTTTACAGTCGACACATGAGACGAACTCAGGATCAATTCAACTTTAGCCAAACTCTGTTGGAATGCAAGAATGTTAAAGGATAACCATAACTACAAACATCTGGAATCGTTCGACAACCAACGCTTCGCACTTCATTCAGCTACGTGTGGGGAGGAACCCCAATCGTCTTAAAATAAGCAGTATCCGCCAAATTGGTTTCACGATGGCTAAGGACTCCCACTTGAGGGGAAATACCACATATTAACCCACCGTTTTCAAAACTAGACAGAGAAAAGCAACCACTTGGACCAACGCATCACTTAAGGATCTGGTCTTCCGGAACAGACTAATGTGATGCGTGCTTATATAATCCAAGATGGCACGCTCTAGTGGCTGACACAAAAAACTGCGCAGTTAGATATATTCCTAGTAGTTATTGAGAATTAACCAAATATTAGTTTTTAAAAGAACTAAAAAACTTTTTTGAAACGACTATTACTTGAGCCGTTTCAGAAAACCGACAGAATTTTTGTCAGAAAAACAAAGCACGACAAAAGGTAAAGAGAATTAGAAAGTTTACCAACAGTCGCCTTGTCCAAGGAGGGAAAGAAGATCGACATGACCCACAAGGCGACAATGAAGAGGCATTTCCAAAACCAAAAACTATAAAGAGAAGGATTAGAATTTGTGCCAGTCAGGAAAACCAACCCGTTATGGATCTTGCCTCGCCAAGACTGGCTGTCAGTATTGCGAATCAAAAGTAGCATCAAAAGAAAATGGAAAATGGCCAACGGGATGCAGAACCGGTAGACGGCAAGGTAGCCGACGAAGCGGACACACTGTTCCTGTGTCCGAAATCGACCGCAGAACTGCAGCAGTGTATCGTCGAGCTAGAAAATGGAACGGGAACATTAAATTAAAGCGGTGTTATGAGATTTGATTCATCGTAGTAAAACGATAGAAATGCATTCTATGATTTTCGATTAATTTAACAAGGCTCCAGTCTAAATAAAGTGAAGTTTAGAGGTTAGGGTAACAAATTTGAATGGAGGTGTAAAAAAGCATATCAAATGTTGATAAAAGAGCATACACATAAAATATAAACTTATCGACTTCAGAAATGATTTTTTGACTGTGAATGTTTATGCATAATCACAAAAGGGGTTTCTGCTTGGCTTTCGGTTTAAAAAACAGGCGTCAATTTACAACGAAACAAAAGAAAGTAAGAGGCTGGTGAAAACATTTTCTTGATCACTTTTTTGAAACAAAAATCTGGTTTCAGAGCTTTAACTAACTTAAAGCAAAATTTCCCTTCATAAATTATACAACTCGATAAAACCACAGAACCATTTAACGGTGATATTTTTAGAATCGACGAGGTTTTTGGTAGCGTGTGGCATTATTCCTGAGAAAAGTATCGGCCACATCTCATTAAAGGTTGTAAGACGGTATAAAAAGTCCATAGTTGCGTATTTATTCAATGTACGCGCACAATTTGTTTATGACGTCGACAAAATTTATAACCTCTTTAAGATTGGTGGGAGTCAGATTCCTGACTGCCAATACCAATCGAGCTTACTTAAGACAAGATTTATTCCCTCTTCGATTTTAATAATGACGTTATAATTTTTATGCGCTAGAAAACTGTTTTCTCAGAAACACACAAACTGAAAAAATCAATGACCTTTGATAAAAAAACGAATTGCTTGAGATATGTCAACTAGGGACATTACCACTCGCGCCGCAGTCCAGTGAGCAATCCCACCAGTGTGAAATATTACGGAGAGGATTGAAACGACTGTAAAGATGCAACAATAAAGAAAACGTGTCGATGTTGATTCCTTCACGTGGGAAGCGCAGCAAACGGGCATAGGCTTCGTGACGAAGCATGAAGTTGCGACACGACCAAAGTAATCACACCTGAGAAAGTACAAACAGAGAACGTACAGCACAAAGTGATCAGATAGAAAAATTAGGAATAAAGAAACTGCACGAAACAGTTATTTTTCAACTAGGATAAAATAAGTGCAAATGTAAATACGGCAAAATTAGCCGGAGGCTTTAGGCATATTCGACGAAACATAATGAAATAAAAAATCCAAATCTTTCAAACTTCCGAGAAAATATGCGTGGACTCGTTACTTGGGAAAGGATAAACTATGAAGTTCGCCATGGTAAATGACGCAGAATAATCCCGAGGTCTAACTGGACTAAATATAATAAAAGAAAGGATCAGGGGTTCAAGAAGGGATAGTTTAAGAAGTGTATAGAGTAGATTGCTACCCTGGCATATAAAGCCATGGCTGACGAGAAAAGCAAAATCAAAGGAGTTACCTAAAATCGAATTTTTCTGCAAGGGATGTACAAAATAAAGCAAATAGACGGCTAAATTCGAGTAGTAAACAAATATGACAAGTATCACTCATGGAATAAGAGAATATGTTGCAAACAAAATAGAATTCGAAAATTAACATATGTAAATTGACAAACACAACAGAAATCAATCATGATAATACCAATAGCAATACCAAAAATTGATGTCCACAATACTAATAAACAAATTCAATTTGAGGTTCGTTGCTGGCGGCTACTTTACGAGTAGAAAAGGTCTAATTCATAAACTCACAAGTCTCCACACATTCATAGCAAATTAATAAAGCTGAGATAAATATAGAATGCCTTAATGGCTACTAAAATGTGTTCGAAAAATTGACCCAGTAAACCTATTATGGAAAAGTTATACAACAAAAACAGAACATAAATCACATATGACCCATGCACATAGCAAAAACTAAGAAATTAGATATGACGATATTCGGAACACAATGTAAAAAGAATTATTTCGAAAAAGAAAATTATTCGTAATATTTTAGGCTAAGCAGTGCACACCTTAATATTCAGCCAACTCAGTTAGAGTAGAACAAACACAATTAAAAAAATTAATAAAAAGTCGTACATCTGAAAGCGTTTCCGCGAAAAACACCGGCTTATAAAACCTGAAAATGCAACTTCAAATGATGGCTATTATAAGAACCCCGCAAAATACAACCATACAGAATGTAGACAGCGAACGAATTAAACAATCTAAGGTTGAATTTTAACTTCTAAATCACGATGTCGCAGAATTATTTACGAAGCAATCTTTTACAAGAGGCTTTATGTGAAATGATTACAGCAAATGTGAGCAAAATTAGAGTAATAAATTTAGAATAAAATTAAAGTGATTTATCTCTGAGTTTAAAGGATTAAAAATCAAACCATTTAAAAAAAATAGAACTCATATCACCAAGTTGCATTTTTATTCATAAACTTAGTTTTAGCTATATGCTCATAGAATCGCTTTGGTCAAAATCAACAGAATAAATATTCTATGACTTTATTGAGGTTTTAACAAATCACACTCTTTACCAATTATTTAGTAATTTAAACATGACCTGTATGCTTCTTCAATATTGCAGTAGCCAGCAGCAGTAAGCTGGAAATTTCTTTAATGGTGTTTGCTTAATATATCCTACTATTACTTTATATATATTTAATTATAAGGCCTCGTAATTTTTTTACAACTCTAAAATAGCTTTTATAAAAAATAACATGGCATTAAGAGGTTTTTCAAATAAGCCTAACTTCATCGATTGACTCTCTGAGCTTGTTTTATTTTACTAATATAAATACCTGCCCTTCAAAAACATCAGAATTCATTTTCGCGTCTTGGTTTTTTTTAGTTGATGGTTACGGTATGTGTCGCCTACTTACTGGATTACTTTCTCGTATTGTTTTGAACTTAATTTAGTTGTGCAATTACTTTCTGTTTGCAGTTAGTTTTTTATACACCGTTGTTCTTTATACCTTTTTACTGTTACTTTGTATTAGACATTGCATCATCATTGTTTAGTTTCTTTTAATGATGCAAAACTTACTATTAGTTTGAGAGTGACGTGGACGCTACATGGTTAGTACATACATTTTTTATGTATCTTCCTTTTTTGCATTTCCATCTATGCGTTCACTGATCATTAGGCTGGATGTCACATCCTGAGCAGGTGACCGCAAGCAGCGTTTTGGCGAACGGCCGCCGCCAAAATGGTGGGAGTGAATGTCAAGTTATGAAGAAGGAAGACCTCTCTTCAACTACTGTTTTAGAAAGTGATATTGTTCCCGATTGCGTCCCCCAACTTGCAGACGGAGAAGATAGTCCTCAGCAAACGGTTTATGGTCCATTGAGCAAGGAAGAAACTGAGCAACTTCAACTTGAAGCAAATGAAGAGACTACCAAAAGTGAAGATCTTCGACTATTTTTACAGGTTGATGTCTATTTCATCTTATCATATAGTATTAATTCTTCTCTAGTTTGTTCTCTAGATATTGCTGTCACTCTTAAGTTGGGACATTTTGACCTTATAGGATTTGTCTACTTTTTTATTAATAAATCTCTCTGTTCATATTTCACATGTACACATTCGCTCTCATTTGCTGACCTTTAGATCTTTTAAAACACTTAACCAACGGAAACTCGTCTGTTGAAAATACGATCCAATTAATGATAAAATGCTGATATGCGAAAACGCTGCTGCATAATTTTCATGCTTCCTGGCATCTGTACCTATACTGTCACTTTTTATTATGCTTTTGTACTTAAGTATCTTTTTTATTGACCAACACTTTTCTTTCTATTGTCGCTGCTTTTTAACTACTCGCTTTTATGTTTTCAATTTAATTTATTGTAGTGATGCTAACATAGTCGTGAGAGTATGGGTTGGTGTATATTTTACTGTATCTTTTACCAACTTATTTAATGTTAAAATAACTAAAGGAACTCCAGACTCTCTAGCCTATCTATTTTATTTAATATTTATGCTATTCCACTCCTTCTCTAAGGCTCTCTGAAACGATGATGCTCTCTCATCCAAAAGTTTCCCTTAACCTTTTTTTATCCTAAAACACCAGGTAGGGTCAGCCACCCAGCGTCACGGGGTCGTAATGAAAAAATACTTATATTCTGACCTAAAAAGCTGCTAAAAATTTGGTAGGTCCCACATTTACCTCATTGCTCACTTACTTCGGCAATCGTATTAGATCAGATGGATCAGTCTAGGCCTGTGAGCACTGAAACCCAGCTCATTATCGTGGTCATGTTTTTGATTAGATCAAATAATTTTTGCCTCATATACTGCACTCTTATTTACTCACAAGTGCTCCTGGACCATATCATTCATGGGTTCCATATCAGAGTATCTTAGGCGTCGTACCCTGTTAGAGTATCAATAGGCATTTATAGTATTTATTTAGGCCATTGTTTTAACATAGGAAATGCGGCAGCATGTGTCCCAGCAGACTCAGTTGCAGCAGCAACAACATCAGCAACATCACCACCACTCCCAGCAAATTGGCTCGGCCACTCAGATGTGTGGATCCGCTTACGATCATTTAAAGGGGAGCAGTGCGGTCTCTCATCAACTCCAGCACCAGACCTTGACCCGTGGTGTCGGTGGGGCCCAGCAAAGTGGAGCTTTGGCGGCCCAGAAACGCTCGATGCTTGCTGACCAGGGTGAGTGGTGCTCATGCCCCTGTTAGGTATCTCATCCAGCACCGTTGTTATTGATCCTTTTTTGCCTTTTCTCGGTTTTTTAATGCATTACTGGAGGGAGTCCTTGTCGTCTCAGCAATAGTACCACATATCCTGGCATTTACTTGCGCTCTGAGAATAACGAACCATACTGTAATGGTTCAGCTCTTAGTGGCGTCGCTTCTCGTGTTCTAGCTGGAACCACAGGGTTGCATTTTGGCCCTCTTGTCTGTGACTAACTCTAAAACACAAGTTGACTTTTAGTGAAAAATCGCAATTTGTTTTAATTAAACTTGTTTTAACAAATCACAGTGAAATAGGGTATTTTTGTCGAGTTGTTATTCCGAAACTGCAGTATTTTTTGATCGACTGAGTTTTGCACACCGTAAATGCTTGCTTGATCTATTTTTTTAGCAGTGTAAATTATTTTTTTCTTTCTTTTCTAAGTATCCTTCGGATGAAATAATTTACTGGTTTTAAATGATAATTTTCTCTGCATAGTAGACGTTGGTATCGCGGTAACGGAAGTTGCCTTTTTACTGGCCACAAAATCTGTTGCGTTGTTTACTCTTGCCCTTTTATTTTGTGACACAAAGAAAAGAAAGTAAACCCTTAAATTGTTCCCTTTTGGTTTCTTCTGCAATTTTAGAATCTACCAAGCTGTTGAAATCGAGCGTGTCCTTAAAAAATCCAAAAGAATTCTGATCCTTCAAGTATTGCAATGCCTTGCACATTCTTTATTTACTGATGGTCTTCATAATCCGCCAAACCTATGGATGCTGAACGTTTCCGTGTGTCCAAATCACGACAAATTTGCAAGAGGGCTTGTGAAACTCCAATGTTATAAAACTCTCTTCTTTCGAAGCCTATGTCCCCAGTTTTCATACAAAACACGCCAACATTGGTGAATTATTGAAAGAAGCGTGATGTCCCTCGCTTTCTCGCTTTCAGTTTCCACAGAAATGGAAGGTTTCGTGTGTATTTGATATCTCACTCATTCCACGTTGGAAAGCAATTCTTCGCCTGTATAATCACTGGCAATTTTACGGAACCATTCCACAAATTCACGTTTTTCACTCATGCGTCTGTATTTGACCCAGCATTGTCGACAGCGAGAACCCACTAGTAATCATTCAACGAAAGAGCTTTGAACAATTCTGAGACCGTTTCGTAAGAAAACTCAGGTGTCCTGTGGTAACGAAGGAGATTTGCATTGGTGATTTTTCAAGCCAGAATCCTTGGTTGTCTCTAAAAATTGTGACCACAACGTGCCATATTAACGCTGATGTTTTGAGGTGGCTTAGGCCACTTAGTGTTTTCGACGAGCATTGTTTAGATTTGATTAATTATTTTGGTTGTACTGATAAATATTTATGCAATTCCCAGTCTAGATCTGGCCATAAATGGAACATTTATGCACATGCAGAATCGTAATTTCCGTCGTGCAGCGGTTTCTCACCAAATTAATCTGTCTACAACTTACTTATTGAAGTTAATTTCGAATTGGGACCTGCCAGTAATTCACGCATTCTTGGGATTTTAGACTACATTATGGACACGGCGCCGGATGGTGGCTGGGGGTGGATCGTGGTGTTCAGTTCCTTCGTCTGCATGATTTTGGTCGACGGGATCAGCCTCTGCTACGGCCTCCTCGTCGCCCCGACCTGTCCCGGCAACAGCCTCCAGGCGCTGGAGAAGGCCCACCCAAAGCCGCTGACAGCCACCTCTTTGGGCATCTTGTGGCCCTCAAAGGCCCGCGAGATCCCTGTTCGTGCGGGCAGCTGTGTTGGCATCTCAGAGATGGGCGAGGCGTTGGGCACACAGTCGCGCAGTGCCCTCATGATACCTGGTGGCCTCCTGGTTGGCATTTATCTCCTACTGGGTGAGCAGTTGTGTTGCATTTTCACACCACGAACAGTCATTTGGCCTCGTAGTGTGCAACCCTCTACACAAAGCAACGCTGTTTACTCCATTTCGTGCAAACTACCTCGAGCGTTCTCAGTTCGTCTAGTGGGACCCGGGGGTTTACATGCTTAAACCACACTGGACTTCATTCATGATGCTCTCTGCTTTGCTACTACGTACCGTAGTAGTTTGGTAGTGTCCACGGGACTTGTGAATTACTGCATCTGAATGGGAAAACAGCATCACGCAAAACTCAAAGTGACTAATGACTTACACCACTTAAAGAGCTTTTTGGGCCCTCTCCCTGATCCCCATCCTCCTTTTTTTTTTAAAAAAACTGCAGGTCCCCTTGCGAGCGCACTGAGCAACCAATTTGACTTTCGGCCCGTGGCGATGGCTGGAGGTGTCGTGTCCACAATCGGACTCGTAGCCGCGGCCTTCTCAACCAACGTTCAAGTGCTCCACGGCACCCTCGGCATTATCGGAGGTAACGCTGACATTTGAGTTGTGTGTGTGTGTGTGTTTATTTGAGGCGGCGTAGTTTTGTCCATTCTGATGGGTATGTAGGCTTTCACGATTGTAATTTCACCACAACTAAAGGCATTCTTTGCAACCTTAATCAAGTGCTACTGTGTTCATACACACAGACACACCTTTCGCTTTGCATGTGTTAACGTGCGAGGTTTGCATTTGCTCAACACACCCGCCAGACACACTGACACGTGAGCCGGCGCGGTGCTACGAATTACTCGCATCTCGTGCACGTCCGACCCCTTTCTCCGGCGTTTTTGGTCTAGCAAAATCAAAGGCAGTCCCCACAATACCCTTTCCTTTTTTGCGTAGGGGTGCTTTCAAACGCATCGTTTGAAAGCGTACTTTATAACCAATGATTGCTAGGTCTCAAGGGGGATATTAACCGATGTGGTAACATTCACCGGCAGTGGCTGTTTTTTTGAAGAAACAGCCTATCATAACAATAAGTTGCACTTATTTTGAAACACTCCTGCGTTAATTGCTCTCTGCATTAATTGCAACAGCTTTACGACATTGTTGAACATCCCCAAGCTGTCCTCAGAGCAGGTTGTAGATGAATCCAACGGGAACCGATGTTAGAAATAAATACAAAAGACAAGAAAATTTAGGTGATCCTCATTGTGGAAGTCAAATAAGTTTTTTGGGATTAGAGTACCGAATAGGAAAAACGCAAGAAGGAAAATCCTCGGAAATTTGGTTTTTGTTTTGGTGTTAAGGCGATGCCCTTGAAACTGCTCGTCACAATAGGCAGTAAATCACAGGTAAATTTTTTGACACACAGTTCTACTGTTTGTCCTTCACTTAAGGTTGTGTGACGCCATTCCCTACGTACTTCTCGTGAATAAAAATTTTCCACCAAATTTGAGATATACTTTGTTGAGTGCAAAAATATCTAATGAACGTCTCTATCATTAACGCGTTTATAGGCATTGGCTTTGGATTAATTTATCTTCCCGCGATCGCAACTGTTGGTCATTGGTTTAAACGGCGTCGCCCCTTCGCTGTCGGATTGGCTCTCTGCGGAAGTGGTGTGGGAACTGTCATTGGTGGACAAGTTTTGCCCCTGCTCGTTAATTGGTTCACGTGGAGCGGGACTCTCATCGTATTGGCTGCGTTCTGCCTACAGTGCCTGGTAAGTACACCCTCAAGCCTAGCCATTAAGTGTGCTGATTGTGACTCGAGGCGACAGCTCTTTCTTAAATTTTCATTTCGTCTGTCTCTACGTCTGTTCTTCATCACTACTGCACAATTTCTGAGTTGTAAAAAATTGACTTTTCATTTATTCACTGTCAAACTCAAGCAACAAGAACCATAATAAGGACCTCGATCTGGTCGCCTAAAACTGTAATTTTTCCACACTGTTATTTTTTTACAACTGTCCCTAATTCTGAACAAAAAATGGCCTAAATTCGGTGTAATTCTTAGCTCCAGCATCTAGTCTGTATTTGAAAGGGCTAATTCTCGTTGTCATGATTATGTTGATTACCGAGTGTCTGGATTTTGTGGAATTGACACTTTCCCTTGGTCTAAAAAGGTATAGTTTTCAGAGGAATCCAATGCTTCAGTTGGTAATAAAACGTCTTGCATTATTTGAGAGTACAAATACCAAAATATCTAATGGAACGTCTTCTCAAGCCTTACTGGTAGTTTTGACCATGGTGGATTGCCAGTTGGGTCTTCCCTTTGTTCACACCGACGATTAGTCACAGCGGGTGTACTTTTCACCGTGCAAATGCCTGAAAGTGAATTACCGTGTGTTGCAAGAACGCGCAAGTCAAGCTAATGGTCGTCATTTGTGTTTCAATTCTGTCAGAGTTAGGCCAAATGCTTCAGGGCGGGCACGTGCTGATGACCTCCAATAACTAATTGACAAGACGGAAAATTGGCGTATGCATATGATCAGGTGTTTCAAATTGCTTGAACCCGGGCAGATTATTTTTGCCCTTCACGAAGGGTGACGTGCTACACCTTAGACCACCACTTCTGAGGAAATCAAGCTAATTAGAACAAAGTAAAACAAGTAAAATGTTCGCTCAGAAATAAGAAACGTAAAAAATTTCTTCCCCAGTGAACGACGAAAGAAGTATTCAATTCATAAAAGTTTGACAAACGTAGTGTTTAGTTCCCAAAACATTTTTGTCCATGCATTCTGTCGGGGACGTGAACCGGTTTTTCATAAAGTGTCTGTGTTCTTAGTCAGATTGACTTGTGAAATATTAATTGTGCCCGCTACTTGTGGACTACCACGCACTCCACTTGCCCAATGTGTTTAGTCAGTCTGGTCAATTCTCATCTTCACAGCGGTGTTTAAAGTCGCTGTTCCGTTGCCGCGATTGCCGGCAAAGACGCGATGATTTTGAGTGAAAATGTGTCACCGCAGTTGTGCGTAAATGGCTTCACCTGTTCCGTTTCGCATTACCCCATTCGCTGATCAGTGCAGTGTTGTGTTTCGCAGCAGGTAGTTGTGAGGGTGTAGTCGGACTTGGTTGGTTTTCGACTGCGTGAGAAGTTGTTGCCGCTCAGTTGTCAAATTCACCGCCCATGACGCGGCGAGGCGAATTCAGTTTCCTGGTGCACAGCACGTCTCGTGTTGTAGCACACGTGCAGCACTGGACTGAGCTTGGTGACTGGGCTGCATGGTTGATGCCTGTGTGTGTGCGTGTGTGTGTTGGTTGTCGCAGGCAGATCGAGTATCCTGATAGTTTAAGATTCTACTGACTCCCATCCAGCACAAAAATTAAGTAGCCGACTTCAGATGAGCTTACCTTGCCATGGGGTACTTCTGACATTTACCTATTCATTCTGAGTATCTTTCTAGTTTCTGGGTGAAGTAAGTAAGCGAAAAGCCAGTTCACAACTTGGCTGTCTGCTGCGATTTTGCAGTTATTGGATGATGCGCAATTGCTTTCCACGTTTATTCCCACTACAAGCGATGTGTCCGTAAATTACGGAGATATGTGTCAAGTTCTGATTATGGATGCTCATAGGTTGGCTGCACTCACTGGCCTGTGCGATCCAATATGATGTTTTTGCAGGTGATATCCTCTTTGCTTCAGTTTAGGCTCGATTTAACCTTTCCCACTTTTCGCGATTCTGTTAATTTGGTACCAGGAGTGGATTTCGTCCGCTTCCAATGCACTTACTCCTTGTGCTAACAATTCTCATACTACAGTTATCTTAATCTGTGCAAAATGTAGCATTGTTATCGATTTTTAAAGTAATGAATTTTCACAGTTGGCGCCCACTGTTTGTATCGTTAGGTTAAGTATGGTTGAACGCTAAATAGATGAACTTTAGACCAACCAAACCTACCTTTTTTCAAATGCCTCATCTGTTCTAAACAGACTAATTTCCACAGCGATCATGCCTTTGATTTGCGATGGCCACTCTGACCAGTCGCGTATCGGTTGTGGCCCCCCAACAGTGCCAAACGCCTTTTCGCTCTCTCATTTGGCGTGTCGCTTATTTGGGTGGGGTCGTGTTGGTTTTCCCACGCATCTTCGATTCTTTTGCCCACGCAGTGACTACTTAGGCCAATGCACTAAAGGCGCGTGCATTTTACCACCTCACGTCTGCACAGTTTGACATTCCTAATCGGTTTCACTTTTTTTTGGTAATCAGCTTTGTCCTTATGCATATAAATCGATGAGATGCTGCTACGAAAGTAGCCTTATTAAGCCTAATGGTGTAGGTCATAATTTCCTCACTCGACTTGCATTTAGTTTGACAGAATTCGTGCCTATCAAACATTCTCATTGAATCCGTGTCTTAGTTTATCAGCATACTTGGATAGCAGTGCGACCACTTTCATATTCTCTTTCGTGTTTTTGTGTGCATTCAAATGAAGTGGACCAACGAGTTATGCGTAGTTAGCGTCGTCATCAGCGCACAAGAAAGACTTTAGTTTACGGCTTGCTTTGTCCCTTATTATCTTTTCCGCACTACCAATTATCCCTTCTGCAAACTTTTAATAAAGAACTTAACCATCGAAAGTGCCATTGATCACTATCGACGACAGGCGTTTTTGACGTCCTTTTTCGACCAATTTTTAAAGGTTTTACTTCTCTTAAGACAGTTTCTCTAGCTTGTGCGAGACAATCCTGACTTTCATGTATTATGGGACCTCGCTTTTTAACCTACGTTTCCTGTCTGTTCCAAGATTACATGCCGTTTCCAAGGCTATATCGAAGAAGGCATTTTTGAATGTAAAATTGCAGCATTTTAAGCAGGTGCTAATTTCCATACTTCTTGCCTTTACAGAAATTTCTAGATAATTGTTCTCAATTGTAAACAATATGCCTGCGTAAAACCCACCATGTAGATTTTATGGTTTCCTTGTCACTTAACCACTTTCACGGACCTTGCGACTCTTCCAGTAACTTGGGGACAAACTGAAAGACTGTTCCCTCTCAACTTTGGCTACTCATTGCAGACGCTAATTGTGCTCTTCCGGCCGTTGGACCTGCACCTGCGGATAAAGCACTATCAGCGTGTGCGCAGGCAGGCGGCGTGGGACCGCGAGCGCCAGCGCAACGCCGACACGCGCGTCCACGAGCAGCGGGTGCGACGCCGAGCGCTCAAGATCGACGTGGAGTCGACCACGAAGGCGCACGCGGCGGCCATCGCGGCAGCCGCCAGGGCCCAGGCCTCCCAGGCCCGAGCCGCCAAGAAGGCCCTCAAGGCTCAGAAGGCCCAGCAAAGGCGGGTCATCTATCGGTGGGTCTTGGCTTGGCGGCTTGTCCATTCCTCCAGTTTCATGCGCTCTCCTTTAAGTGGTCGCTTTTAGTCTCGTTGGCAATAAAACGTATCACTTCATCTTTTAAAAAGTTACAGACTTTGCTGACTTCCATATCTATAAGTGTTTCTGAGATGGCCGTTGACTTATGAGGTCGGCTTGATTACACAAGAGAACCCTCCTTATTAATGTGTTTGGAAGTTTAGACAGCACTCGCTCATTAAGTTACTTCTGGTTTTACAGTGACGTCACGCATCCTTATCACAAAAGGCTGCTTTCTCCGGAGCTAGACGATCCAGAAAAGGCGGGTCATCTATCAGTGGGTCTTGGCTTGGTGGCTTGCCCATTCCTCCAGTTTCATGCGCTCTCCTTTAAGTGGTCGCTTTTAGTCTCGTTGGCAATAAAACGTCTTACTTCAGCGGGTATGATAGCATCTTTTTAGAAGTTACAGACTTTGCTGACCTCCGTATCTATAAGTGTTTCTGCGGTGGCCGTTGACCTATGAGCTCGGTTTGATTACACAAGAGAACCCTCCTTATTAATGTGTTTGGAAGTTTAGAAAGCACTCGCTCATTAAGTAACTTTTGGTTTTACAGTGACGTCACGCGTCCTTATCACAATAGGCTGCTTTCTCCAGAGCCGAAAAATTAAGTTTTGTAGCGTGTTTCATGACAGTCCCCATATCACCTGTTTCTTCAAAATGTCCTATGTATAGTCATTAATAGGTTCGCATCACCAAACTTAATCATCTTGTGTTCGTGCTATGTTCCACCCCGGGTGTCCACATGTTTTCGTCTTCCATTTCTGACATCTGATTCCAAGTCATTCCAGTTATCTTGAATCTTTAATTTCGTTCTTTCTCTTTCTATCGCCAAATCATTCGTCATCCCACATGGTCCCTGTAAACTGCTTATGCCTCACAGCGGGTCGATAATGCAGCGAATAATCGAGGAGAAGCGGCGCCAGAGAACCGTTTCGGTTGGCAGCCTCGACGGCATGGTGATAACCCGGGACAACGAATTAATCGCCGCTCCGTTGGTTGCCGATCGGCCCCCCATTCTGACGGCAGCCTCCATAACGCGCATTTCGGAGGCCGTGATGCGGAAGATGGAAGCGCGTCTGGCTGGCTGGCATGACGGTGGCACCATCGCCAGCGGTGGTGGTGGTGGTGCTGGGGTCATTACGGACACTCCAACGCCCGTCCGATGCGACTCAAACACCTCTCAGCCACCGCTGGAAGTCCTCAACGCTGACACTCGAACTTCTTCTCCGTCGCGCAAGTCTTCAGGCCTGACATCGCATGCCGCTGTAAGCAACTCGGGGTTTTAGTGTTTTCACCACCCAATGACGATGTATCACCACTGTAATCGCTAAATTGAGTCTTGAGAAAAAAAGACTTGAAACTTCCTCGATAGAGTATTGATTTTTGCTTGCGCACGCATTTTTCCCATTCGCCACTTCACTTTAGCTCTCTAGACTGAACCTTGTGCGCGAGAGTCTTCCACAGCTGGTGCAGGACTACGTACAGTCCCAGGCCTCGATTGCCGTGCAGAACTACATCGCCAAACAGCACAGCCAGATGCTGCAGTCGAGCGGTGTTGGGGCTACTGTGGGTGCGGTTCACGCGCCCGGTGGTACCACCGACACCACTGGCATCTCCCCCCACACCCGCATTCGATCGATCAGCAACGCCACCAACATCTATCCCTCCGGGGGCAGCAGCACGCCGCAGGCTCAGAAGGTCAGTCATTTTCTTCCTCATCCAATTCCGTGGGTGTTGGCTGCTTGTGCAATTAGCATCGTTTGCTGCTGCGATCGTTTGTTTGCGCCAACTGTCTGCCATCACAAAGTTCTGGTTGGTCAGTACCTTCGGACGGATATTTTACTCCTCCTATATAAGACATTTTATTGACAGACAGGCTTATTTGGTTTTCAGCTGTAAGATTTCCTTAATTTCGTCGATTGACCTTTCTTTCGTCGCTTTCAGAAGACAATAGTCTCTTCGATTCTTGCCATGCGATTTGCCTTTTTTTTTGAGAAAGCCGTAACGGTCTGTACGGCCGTAACAATCCGTCATGTATTGTAGTTCATTTACAATGTTTTATATCATCCAACAAAAACGGTCTGAGCTCTCAAACTCAACTCCCATTAGTTCATGATGACTTAATTGGAGTCTTCCATTCCACACGAAAACCTTTAAAACGTGTGACTTCACCTTTACCCAATTCTAATCGAAAGTTCGTCGACGACTTGTACGCTTGCCGAAGAAACAAGGATTTATCAAACTCACAGGAAGTTAGCTAGTCCAGTCGCATCTATTCTGAGCTTTCCTTGTTTGCGTGAGTACCGTCAAGAAAGTGTGTAGGAGGTTTTTGTCGAAAATGTATTCAGAGATTTATCCAAAAAAATCAGCGTTTTGTTTTTCTTGTGAAGGCGCGAATGCTCTCTTCTCATCTCCAAAGTCGAGATCTGACGATTTCCAACACCCAATCAGATCAGGATGGTGCAGCGCAGTCATCGATGAATGGCGATCCTAACATCACAGGCCCCCTCGCGTCCCCTCCATCACCCACGCGGAACCTGTTTATCCCTTCGACCTGCGCCTCTGAGGTAAGTCCAAGTGAATACTCAAGATGTGTGCGTTACGCTTTGGTGGCGTTGTTTTGTCGAACACCTCGGAATGTGGTGTCAAACCAAATTTCGAGGCCACTCTCTTGTAACTGCCGGGGCAGACAAAGAAGAACAGGCATGGTGTAAACACAACCAAGTGAATAGATGGCTCAAACTAATTGTCTGTCGCGCCACTGAGCATAAAATGCGTGTCCGGATGCATGACCAGATGAATGGAGTAAACCGAAGGGGAGGGTGTACGAACAGACGAATCAGCGTAGTCGACATGGTCGCTCTGAGAAGGGGAAAGGCGACGACGTGAATCAACGCGATTCCCCACAATTCCCTCCCGTTGCTAAAATCGAACGCCCTTTCTCTGACCTCACTTCCCTGCGTAACAGTTGCAACATTTTGCTCTGATTGAATGCCAAAAAATTTTGCCGCGATGACCGCAACAAAGTATCTTTTATTGGTAAAATAACGGCTGTTTACGTGAATTTGTTGGACAGATGGCTCTTACACTTTCTGTTTATACCACATATCTTTTGGTTCGATTTCGCCAAGAGAATTGTTCGAATTGGGCCAACGACACACAGCTCATTGCCTGGACAATATTTTTTAAAAATATCTTTGTCATCCCAGTCATTTGCGTTACCGTCACTTTAGACGCATCCTTTTTCCTTCTTCTAACAACACCTATTCTCCAAAATCACAGACCACTCACTACAGTGAAAGTTTTTGTTCACCGTAGTCAAAATTTGGCATTTAAATTGCTTGCTTTTCTCTTTTCGCTTCCTCAAAGAAATCACACCTTCAATTAATCTGTTATATGGAACTAATTTGAATGAGAAAACAAGCATCAGTTTCACAGATTCCAAACTGTGTGACAATGTTTTAAAAAGTTATTCACCAGATATTGGCCGAAATCCGATATTTAAATAATCGGAAATTTAATCAGTTTTCACTTCATTGATCTCAACAGAAAAGATGATTAGGGTTGCACTTTTACACGCCACATTTCCTAGAATCCTCCCTTCCCATGCTCAAAGACGCTTGCTTAACTAAATTGGCAGATTTTGGTACACGTAGTCTGGTGTAGGGCTGCTGCACTTGCTCCTGCGCTTGTTTCGTGACTGCAATTGGCTTAGACGCTAGTTGACCGCTTTGTAAGATCAAAGTTGTTGAGCCTGTTGTCTAAAAACCCTGTTGATAATCGTCCCAGCTCGTGCCGACTTGGTTTCTCAGCTGTTCCCGAAGCACCCACAATCCAGTGGATATGAACCAAAGCACTGAACCCATGAATCACCCTTTCCTTATTGTTAGCTCAGTTTTTTTTTATAAACATCTGTGTTCATTTCGCATGAAAACTCACTTTTTAGCCAATTCAGACATGCCCTTAGCTGCACGTTCTTAATATTCTCCCGAAACTGTAGCGGCTCCGTTAGCACTTTCTTTCAACTCTGCCTGTTGCCAGTCCGTAACAGTCCGAGAGGAAAGGCAAGACCGATGATAGCAAAAATGATGATTTATGCACATTCGACCGCCCAACAACATTCGATCAACGCGTTAATGAGCCTCCCTCGTTCTCGTTTGAAAGTTCACTGCAAATATTGCCTCGAAAGCGGTGGCTGAGGGACACAGTAAAAGCTAGAAAACTACTAAACTGAATCAGCAAAGCGGACGGGTTGTCTCAGGGGTCGGCCAAAACCGGAGGTTGGACAGAATAGAGATACAGGCGAGTGTAGGGGGAGTTAATTATAGTTTGAATGTGGGAAAAGGACGTGTAGGATGCTTTAAGTCCGTCCACACTCACAGTATCGAGAGGTCCATTTTTTAACTTGTCAAAAAAATTATCGCCTTTTGCCACTCTAAAGGGACCATCGTAGGGTGGTTGTAAAGGTTTGTTGACACCGTCGACGCGGAAAAAAATGTAGGGGGAAGTAAACAAATGTGGCTGAATAATTACGTGCCGGGCACAAAATCTTGGTAGGGCTGCTCTAATTTCCTTCAACTGATCGACGTAGGCTGAAGAGGGAATATCAGCATTGTTGTCGGCCCTTGCGACCATTTCTATCAGTTTCTCCAACTGTGTGTTAGAGCCTTGGAACGAGGTGATTGTGTTCATGTGCCACATTTGGCGTAGGACGGATTCATCAACCTTGCTATCCCCAACAAAGAGGCGCATTTGCCAAAAGAGTTGAGAAGGAGACCTGTCAACTAGTTCGATATCGGAAAGTAGGTGTCGACGACGGGCCTCGCTCAAGCTGATCAATCGTGTGAGAACAACATCATCCAACTTTTCATGGGGGTTTTTAGAGGGCATTGTTCCGAGCAGGTCGATAAATTCTGTACTACCACCTCTCGGAAACCATGCAACAACATGTGAATACTCGGAGAACTGGGAAGTAATCGTCTGATTGCTAAAATTGGCCCCAGGTCGTCTAAACAAAACTCTAGCTTTAGGATTGTACGGAAGCAAGTTGACTGAGATGCTGTTTTCTGAACATTGATTTACAGTAATGGGGTCACTCATTTTTATCAAAGTACAGGGTTGTGAAATGTTTTAGAATAGTTGTCAATTGGCAAAGTCAAAATTCAGCGGTTGCGTTGTAGCGGCTCCGTTAGCACTACCTTGCAAACCTTGCTAATCAACAGTCCGTGGCAGCCCTAGAAGAAAGGCAAGACCAATTATAGCGAATATAAGGCTTTTTTATTTACATTTGACCACCCAGGTCTTTTATAGCACAGCGCGTGGGTGCATCTCGAACGTCAACTGTAATCGACAATCGACGATATTCGACAAACTCGTGAATAAGCTTAATTCGAGCTCGTTTGATAGAAGTTCACTGCAAATGATGTGTCAGATAATGTTTCCCAACGTATGGGTGTAGGAAGAGGTATGGATTGAGATGAATGTTACAGGTGCAAGCCTTTCAGCTAGTCAGAATTTGAATGATACAACTCTTTGTAAAACAACTTGGTGATTGTGCCTTCTAAATAGTTGACTGCAAAATCAATTCCTGGAAAAAGGCTACAAGGGTCACCTAACCAGAGCCAAAAATTATTTTCATTTGCCGAGAAGTTGACTACGAAACCATGGTTTTCAAAAAGACGTGTTTTTTACACAATGTAGCATTCAACACTGCTCACTGCTGTCGTCCGTTGCCAATGTGTATTGTAGCTGATCTGAAATAATCAATTTGGCTGACCCTGTCCCATGTGCATGCTAACACACTCACATGGTGTTACGGGGTCATGACATTTGCTGCTACAACTCCATGTCATTGGCTTGTGGTGATGCAGATGTTTAGGATTCTGCATCATTGCTTTTTAACGTCAAGATGACACCATGAATTTGCGCTGCGTTGATTGGTATGGCTGATTCCAACGCGTGCTGGGCTTGGGGTTTAATGACAATAATTAATCCTGGTCTGCGGTTTTGCGAATAAGCAGTGTGTTCTGTTTGCGAGCAGGCTTGTTTATTGTGATTTAGTCTAGCTTGTAAACAATATTGCGTGTTGCTAAATCACTTCTGAATTACGCCAAAACTAATGCATGTTTGAGCTATGACTCAATGTTGGTGCTGTCTAAAATGCCCTTATATGAGGTTAAAGTAGATAACGATCTTCTCCACTGTTAAATTAACTTCTGTATTGTTCAACGTAGTCAAGACATCAGGCAGGTTAAAGCCTAAACACAAATTTTTATCGTCTGAACTCTAACAATAAGTTTTGTGACAGTAGCAGGAAGGAGATGACAATGGTGTAACGTCAAGTCTTGACCAACATCTCCGGAATTCTCCCAACTCAGATCACTTTGTACCTGTTTGTAGTGCCTGAGTCTTCGTCGGACGATTTCAGATGCCAGCCTTACATCATCGAATCGTGGCCTGCTCATTAATGTTCCCTTAGAGATCCGAAATGAGGTGGCTGAGCTTCTTGATGGCGAGGTTCGAGCCGAGGTGAATCAGCGTCTTCGACGGGAAATGATGCGTCCACAGTACAAGAAAGACCTCTTCTTCACTGGCTCGGCCCAACAACTGGATCACACCCCTATTTCCGCCATACCGCTTGGCGGAGTCGGCAATGTGTGGGTGAGTTTGAGGCGTTTAAATGTCCCCCCCCCCACGTCTGACTTCATCAACTAATTTTCGCGCTTTTACTAAATATGTGAGTTTTTGGACATTGTTCTTGAAACTGCACTGCAAAGCCGCCTGGTTTGATTTGCTCGTTCCATTTACCATTCACTTACAAGAACGCAGTTGGTCGGACAAAGCGTCTTAGACTCGAGCTAGTGGTCTGTACGTGTTCAAATGATTACTTTATAGGGGAGAACACAGACGAAACATGGGGTGTGCGCTTTCTGCCCATATGCGTCAGCATTATTTATTCGTAAACGTCGACCAAGTCTCCACCCGCAACAGTTTAGTTGTGCCCAAAATAACTAACAGAGTGTTGACTTACAAAATCCCGAGAATCAGTAGGACGTTCAAGCTGAAACGGACATGCTCTTTTTTCCTTCGCGATGCGAAGTTGCCATGTTTGTTGTGTCCATTGATGTATTGCACATAGTAGACAAACGATACTACCTGACCAAGCCATTTACGCTGTTATTAGCTTATCTTATACGACCACAACATTGGCATAACATAGACCCACGTATTGAATTAGAAAACTAGCCTGTTGTTCACACGTTAGCGGCCTTATCTTTAAGCCTTTAATTGTTTGCTTCTAAGACGACACGTGACCACTCGAATTGGGATGTAGGGCTGACAAACAACGCCTCAACACCGAACGCCACCATTTCGAATCGCGGTCTCGGTGTCGACGCCGACGGTCACGTCGATGCGAAGACCTCCATTACCTCGGCACAGCAGAAACTTTCTGTTTCAGTCGTCAATGCGGCTTCCTCGGCCGCCGCCGCCGCCGGTGGAAAGGGTTCGGGTGATCCTGCAGACCACCAGTCAGTGCGCGTCGTCGATTACGGCGACGACCTCTCCATCACGCCGCAGCCGCCCGTCGCTGTGCGCAAGCGATCGTGCTGTTCAAGTCCGATTTTGACCTTCTTGGAGGAGTTACTGGCGCCGGGTCTACTTCTCAGTCCTACCTTCATTTCTTTGCTTCTCTCCAACATATTTACAATTTGGGGTGAGGCCTTATGCGTGGCATCATTCGGTGACGATTTTAATGCGAAAATATACATTAACCATAATTGCTAAATTTAGCAATTAATATGTACTTTATTTTGTCAGTTAGAACACTTCTATTCTATAAAATGTACTATTTGCTTGCTGTTTATTTGGTTGTTAGCGAATCGATCAAATTTATTGGTTGGGACAGTCCTTTTACTCACACGTGTAACATTATTAAAAGGACACCCTCAGAGGACCCACATCGCAGCCCAAAACCAACTTCTAGAATGAGATTTCTCGCAAACCAGTTTGTAATTTAAAGTGATGTTTTGGGTCTGTGGCCATGGGCCCTAACTTCCTGCCCAACACTACCAGCAACACGACGTAGTGGGAGTGCATTTCGTCAAGTGTCTTATTTTAGACATGTCCATCACCTACTTGCCTTTTGTGAAGCAAATACTTAGTTGTGAAAAAATGAAGGGCTAATTTTACTGCGCAGAGCTATCTTATAGGCATTTTTTCTTCTAAGGTTGCGTGCTTTAAACATGCTCAAGATGTCGATCAAACAAATTTTATTAATTGGTCGTAGGACGTATTTGTGGCAGAACTTTTGAATTCGCAGGTGTACACGGACTCCCCCCAACTCCTTTTTGTTTAGGCCTCGTCATTCCCTACTTTATGTTTCCTGACATTGCCGCAGAGAACAACTGGACACCCGCTGAGGCCGGCTCCCTAATCTCCTACATCGGCCTCGCAAACACCTTTGGACGCTGCATCGCGAGTGGGTCCAACTAAAATTTCGATTCTGGCACCTCTTAGTTTGACTGTATTATGCGATCGTATATCCTTGTCTTAGGAGGGTTTTCATGGCACAGCGTTGGAGACTCTGCTAGTTAACTGGCTATAATTAGCTTTAAAAAGGACGTGTAATGTCCTGGTTTTACCAAGTTCTCGTGTCTTATCCGAAGCCTCTTTCAAATTTAGTCCTGAATTCATTGAGTGTCCATTAAACATTGTGCTTGAGAAGTTAACAACCCTGCCTACTCATTACTCTTACACTACGTGTTGATAATTAAACCCAAATCTCAAAATTAACCTGATTGGTTCTAGTGACAAATTCAGGTCAAAAGCAGGGTACTCCACAACGTATGTGGTCTTACACGTTTAACTTTATAATGAGAAATTCCTAAGAATTGGTGCTATTATGGATACTGTGTTGGTGTTTAATACCAAAAAAAGCCTGTTTGTTTTGTATTTTTAGCGCTCTACATTGAAAAGGGTGAGTTCTGTTAAATAAAATGTGCTTAATGTTGCCTTCTTTGAATAAAATATTGCCATATAAACGGGATTCTCCTTGAAAACGATAGTCAAAAGGGGTTCATTGGCTGTCCCCATCAGTTTTACTATACTACACAACTGTCAACCTTCATAGATCTATTCATAATCTGTAGATTTTAACAGAATATACACCAATCTAAGGTTATATTGCGCTTGTTTTTTTGTATTTACCTAAACCAGATGTGTCCTAGACAATGAAGTATGTTCGGAGATATAAGCCCGTAGAATTCCGAGGGGAGGCGAATGAGCCTGTCATAAATTGGTAAGAGCGATGAAGGCGTTCTAAACGTAGCCCTTCTCTCTCCTCCCCACGCCAGCTTGGTCTAGTCACTACAAATGGGCCGACTGCCTCCGAGTTAACGTTGGCTCGCTTCTTCTCTCGAGTTTCGCCTGTGCCGTTGTTCCGCTCATCGGCCACAACTACAACCTCATGATTTTCGCTGGTTGCGTCTTCGGCCTGTTCTCTGGTTAGTGGATATGCCCTCCTACTTCCATCGATGCATTTTTGGGTTTGCATTGCCTAAGCGGAGCAATCTCTTAGCATTTAGCACCAGTCTCTGTGAAAAGCCATCTGCAGCCAAGTTGTATGATCTTTCTTTATTTAGTTCGAGTTCTGTTCTGTGTCTTCGGACGCCAAATTCCAGATGCTATGACTCCCTTTCCGCTAGATGACTTATTTTTGCCTAGGGTACGACTTGTACACTTTTGGATTTGCACAACCTAAAAACTTGAACACACCTCTCAAATGAACATCGATTCACATCTAGCTCAACCAATCATTTTCGTGTTTGTTAGCTTGGCAGTAAGATGCTGAAGCCAATGCGTCGGTTATCCAAGATGCCTCGTTTTGTGTGGCGATAATGACCTCATAGTTGGGTTCTGGTATTGAATTGTGTCTGTGGGGATTTGTGCCAGGCTTGTGCCAATTTGAAACTCACTCCACATGCAGGGCAGATTAAAGCACAAAGACACTGAAAAACTGCACGCATTAAACAAACCAATAGCAAATTTCCGATCATGAAAGTTCACAGATCCTGCCAATCATAGCGTTATGTGTTGAGAAATCGATAATTTATGCCTCATCAATGGATAACACCACACTATAGAACTCCATCCAACTGAATGCTTTATTGGCCAGCAAAACCAACATGCAACTTTAAAGTGTATATCCAAATCAGACCGTTTCACTGGTAGTCCAACAATCCTCCACGGCCAATAACCTTATTAAGTGCTGTAAAAGTTTTTTTTTCTAATAGCGTTGCGTAACTGGTGACTTTATTGAATGCTTTTCCAGCGACGAGGTAGAAGGTAGACTTCGGTTAATTGAAAATAGTTAGATTTCACCACCCTCCTATTTAACTGTGTAAATTGTTTTCATGTTGAAATGGATTTGCATTAATTAACTTCTTTATTAGTTTGTAATGCAGAATACAAAACAACCAGAGCATTTCGTCTGTTAGTGACCATTCTGGGATTGCTTAACTCAATCTAATTACTACGTTTATTGAGAAACTGTCGCCAAAAGCGACATTTTAATCAGTGCCTTGCATTAATGTTCTTACACTTCCAATTTTCTGCGACAAAAGCGCTTCTTTAGATTAGCAAACCGGCGAATCTTTGTAGTCTTTCGTTTCTTGATGGGTGATGTTTGAAAACGGTGGTATCGTACACTTGACCATCTGTATTACAAACAGGTTTACGACTAAATTAATGTGCTGCAGCCTTTGTGTTTCCTTGCAGTCGACTTATGTTTGCTAAAGCCGCGTCGGCAGATCATAATTCCTTTCACTTTTCTGGATGAAAAAAAAATGACAAGAGGTTATTTTTCGGCATGGATTTGGTCGGTTTGCCTCATCACAAACTGCTCAAACAAAGGAAGGATTTAACCGGTTGTTTGCCGTGCTGATCTGTATTTAACGCATGATTTCTCTGCTGTACAGATCTGTGTTGCTGTGCAACTCACAATCCTAAGGAGTATAATTGCAGTTTCCAACTGATTTTAATTTCAGGTTCTCTCGCTTTCTAAGTAGGTTTGCACTACAGGGTTCTGTCAGCATTCCTAAAAGCCTAATTCTACTACATTACTATAATCTGCATCCGGCGCGCTGTTTCAGCCAATCTAATGTTAATGAGGACCGATGTGAAAGTGGAGCGGTTCGCGGAAGTTAACAACCTAATGTCATTTAAAACTCCCCCGATCACTTAACATCTGTGTACTTTCGCCTTTGATTTGCTCTTGCCTTTCAGTTTCATTGCCTTAAACACGCACGTTTTTACCGTAAAATGTGGTCCGTTTTGCCCTTCCTCTACAAGTTAGTTGCTGTTTAACCAACAGACGACATTGCATATTTTAAAATAGAGGAATGCGTATCTGTGCATAGATCTGATTTCTAATGTACGACTCCAACTTTCTTCAATTACACCGTTTTTTGTTTCATTTCAGCCGTGGTAGTTTCCTTGAAAAGCATTTTAGTGGTCGAACTCTTCGGATTGGACAAACTCACCAACGCATTCGGCCACATGTTGGTGGTGCAAGGCCTCTCAAGCATTGCCGGTGCTCTAGTTGGCGGTGAGTCGTGATTGTGTTCGGATGCGCGATGTTGCCATATCAACCACAATTAGTGCAGTAGCTTTCTTCTGAGACACGATTTTACGTCGCCGCGTTGTGTAATGGTGTAAGGGCTGAATTCAAACAAAGGAAACTTGGAAGCAATGCAATGGCCACTTAACAGAAACGGCTTGAGCAACGCTGACATGATGGTGGCCCCACTTGGAGTATGGTTTCCTGAGGATTACGGATCAAAAAGGTTATGACAGTGTCATTTCGCTTTTAAAGAAATGATTTGTTGCGCTAGCGTGTTTCGCTGTTGGAGCTGTAATATTTAAGTAGAATTACGGTCGATAAAGTGGCGCATCCGGTTACCTAGCAACAAAAATTCGCTTTAACATTCTAAGTATTGCGAAAACTCACAATGCAATTTAGTCTGTTGCATTTCCATAGTCGTCCAACGTGATGCAGATAAAGCCGTGTCGTTTTTTTACCAAGTCAAGTTATTAATGCCCCTTAATTCCACTTCGAATGTTTGACAATGTACTTTAGTAAAATAACCTATCGAAATACGAAAATATTGCTTACCGACACAGCGTTCAGAACTGTATGAGAGGCATAGAGAAACGATGTCCCTAATCCACCCCAACTTCGATGTTGTCAAGACTTGGTTGTGGGTTGATGACAGTAGACCAGTTTAGAACTGTGAAATTTAGCTGCAGTTGGGTGTGACTTGGAAGACAGATTGCATAAATTGCACATAAAAAACACTGGGAATTCCACTATGGCCAAACCTGGAAGTGGCCCAGTGGAATTACGGGCAATTTAATCCATTAATTTAGAGCCACGCTTAATTGTACACGCATGCTTTAAGAGTTCATTGGGTGTTTTAGTGAAAGACTCTCGTTTCATTCTGCGTTCGTTGTTTCTTCATGGCAATCCAAAGACATTTTGAAGTTAGCGCAGGTGTGAATTTAACTTCCACTATGAGGCTAGTTCCTTGGGTTAATCAGGAATAATCAGATTGGTTTTCGAGACTTTGAAAATCAAAATGCAAAACCACTTAACTTCCATCACATAATAAATGCGCCTATTTTGGGCTTGAATTCACCCAAAAACTGGCAAATTGTCAAGGTCATGATATAGTTAGTGTAAAGTGGATGCGTCCTTAGTCAGATTGCCTTGTAAAATAATAATTGTACCCGCTACCCGTATTGACCGTTGAGTGGACTACTACGCACTCCACTTGCCCAATGTGTTTAGTCAGTCTGGTCAATTCTCATCTTCACAGCGGTGTTTAAAGTCGCTGTTCCGTTGCCGCGATTGCCGGCAAAGACGCGATGATTTTGAGTGAAAATGTGTCACCGCAGTTGTGCGTAAATGGCTTCACCTGTTCCGTTTCGCATTACCCCATTCGCTGATCAGTGCAGTGTTGTGTTTCGCAGCAGGTAGTTGTGAGGGTGTAGTCGGACTTGGTTGGTTTTCGACTGCGTGAGAAGTTGTTGCCGCTCAGTTGTCAAATTCACCGCCCATGACGCGGCGAGGCGAATTCAGTTTCCTGGTGCACAGCACGTCTCGTGTTGTAGCACACGTGCAACACTGGACTGAGCTTGGTGACTGGGTTGCATGGTTAATGCCAGCGTGTATGTGTGTTGGTGTTGTTGTAGGCGGCAAGCAGGTTGTGGCCAGCCTTCAATGTCTGCTCCACTCGTGGAAGTGTCTGGGTGGTTTAGTTGAATGGCGCTCATCGTTTGAAAGAGAAATTATAAGCCTGAATTTTAAATGCGGCTCTGATTGCTTTTGGAATAGGTCGTCTCTTCGACGTCTTTGCAGCTGGTGCCCCAGAGTTCACGCCATGGGCTGGTAACTCGGCACCCCTGGTCCATGCCGCTGACACGTGTTTTTACTTTGCCGGGGCAAGTTTCCTCCTAGCCGCTCTCTTCGCCTCGCCGTTGCGTTGTCTAGCGGTCAGGGAGGTTATTTCCGCAACTTATAGTTCCACTCCTCCGGGTGTACTTGGTGCAGGAGGCGTCTACATTGACGACTACCTTGACTACGGTGAAGGCGGCGGTGGTTTCGATGAATCGTCCATCCCTGCAGCCGAAGCACTCACGGCCGCCAATTCAATTGCCAATGTCCAATCCCCTTCGTCCAACGCTGGGCCCAGCGTCCTTGGCCAGCCACAGACGTATGATCTCGGGATGGCGAGCCACATCTGTGAAGCTCCATCGTCGGTGGGAGGGCCCGCGGCAGAGCCGTCAGAGCCACCACCGTCGGAGACTTCTACTGCTCAGCCCTCAACCGCGACGACAACGTTTCTGTCGCCGGCGCCCCTTCCCTCGAGCCTCTTTCTCACGCCCGACACTGAAATGCAACAGCAAGGCCAGCAGCAGGTCTCAGTGTCCGACAATCCCGATGTTGAGAAGTTAGTCGGCCTCGTTGATGATCACGGTGATCTTACTGCCGGTGAGGAAACTGCAGGCGTGATTACAACTGCCGGGGTGCCAATCGGTAACCTGCCCACTCGAGCCGTCGTTCCACCGCCACAGGAGTCGACGATCGCCTGGACTGCTTCGTCCACTTCCACAGTTTCTTCTGCTCCCACAGAGGTACTTGTTGTTATTAGTTTCCGATTGAGTTTTGTGATTGTGATTTTCATAGTGGCTGTTTAGTGGGCATTAGGCCATGGTGCTGATATACCTGATTTCAGAAGCTACAATGCTGTCATCCGTCTATCGATACACACCTATCCCACCAAAATGAGGATGATAGTTGCTCGTTTTGCTTCAGATTTCTGTGAATTAATTTAACTGACGATTAACTGACTCGTGTGATGGAAGCGGCCAATTGAGATGTGGCACTGTACTCACGAAAAGTTGGTGGGATTTGCTCTTTAGTCAAGTCGAGCAACCTCATACAAAGATAATCTCTTTTTTGAAGGTGAAGACAACTATCGTAGCCGAGGAGCCTGCTCTGGAACCCGTGAAGGAGGAAGAGGAGGAGGATCTAGAGGACTCAGCCCTACCGCATTCACCCCAGCCACCGGCAAACACAGCGGGTCCAGACACTGCGCCCTGAGGCGCCTGCAACTACGTCCGGCCGCAGGTCTGCTCTGGGCGTGGTACCAACTTGTAAAAATTCTATGCACCAGTATTACTCTCTCTTGTACTAATTTTAATTTGTGAAACATTGCCGTTATCATCTCTGAAGCGTCGAAACAGACAGATATATTTTATTTAAGATTTACTTCAAGTATCTCTCTTATTAATTTGTGCAGATGTGTGCAAACGAGGCAATGGAAGACGTCATATTCAGTACATTCTTTTTAAGAATGACAATCAGTATCAATTATTTGAACAGATTTTCTCAAAAGAAACCTTATTGGTTATGAAGGAACTAGAAGAAAATTAGTGCAACAAAATCTCACACATGCTTCACTAAGCGAGCCCTCGTTCTACTGTGCCTTATAAGTGTAACATTTGTGTTGGTTGCTTGGGCACCTGATGTTATGATTTTTTCCTCTCAAAATTACGCCGAATTTCGTTTGATTTGTCAAGGACATTCGCCCTAAGTAGATGGAGCCTTTGTTACAAATGTGCACTGCAATTGTTTGACCAACTTGTTTGACAGCACACATTCAATTATTTGATCATTAAGTCTATTCTAACTAGCTTAGTATTGGAAATTAATAGAATCCTCAGAGAACAGTATTTATTGAGTGTAGAGTGCGAAACGCTTTTTAGACTGGAAACTTCTCGTAATCAGTGTCCAGAATCTTAAAAAGTTCACAAGATTGGACCCAGATCTTGTGAGTTTGTATACCCGTTGTTGTTGTTGTTGTGTCCATTCACCTTTTATTCCACAAAGTCTTACTGTGTTCGTAATATGAGTTCTGCTAGCATGAGGCTCTTCTTTCCGGTGTTTCCAAATGCGCACACATTGCAAATTTCCTTGCTTCCGTTTGAGTGGCTTTTGTCCTTCACGCTTCTTATATGCGTTCGCATTACCATACCCTAGTTCATGAAATCCCTCTTAGTTTTACTAAATTTGGCAGCGTCACTTTGATATCACGTTAGCAGACAAATACATATTCACTCAAACTGTACATTTTGTCTGTTAATAGATATCACATGATTTTCCAGAAATTCCTAAGTGGACGATAAAGCTAATTTAACAGATTAGCCACTTACTTGATAGACCTTACATAGTAAGTTATTTTTAAGAAAGTCACCAAAGAATCGAACTTTAGTTGAGGTGGATAAGGCACACAAGTTTACTAGTCCCCAAGGCATTTGTGTACATGAGGATCAAATGTCATTCGTCGTTCAGTAAATTTGACACATTTTGAATATTTAAAACCTCAACTAATTGAATTTTACGAGCAAATACGTGCGCAAAAAAAGCGAAAACATTATAGACTGGCGCAATTAAGATCTGTGGGTCGAAGTCCATGAACTGTCTGGTAGTGCTCTTAGCCAAACAACCAATCACACCACGTGCTTTTTATCTCCTGGTTTGGTTGCGGTAAACTCCAAAAGCCTGATGTTTTCTCCATTTCATTTTTCTTAAAATGATACATTAACTTCTCTAGCATATCGACCGTTTCAGGAGATTACAGGGGAATTTTAGATATCTTCATGAAAGCCCTGATTTTTGCCGCGATCGTTTGGTCTAGTCTACATCATCACTGCTGCCTAAGAACTTATTGCTGGCTTCATGGCACACGGCATAACCGACCCACTCGTAATCGTTTAATCCTAAGTTTTGATACTTTAATAGTCAAATAAAATTTTTAATGTAAATAATCAAAAAAAATTGAATATATCATTAAAAATAAGTGTCTGTTTATTAAAATCCCTTGAAAGACAAAATTTCATTAAAACAAGCAGCTACAAATTAAGAGCTAGAAACAGGTAATCAGAATGAAGACTAGACAAAGCTTTTAGTTATTCTCTCAAACAGACAAAATAAAATTCAAGATTAAGTGATAATTTTTAAAAAAATCATGTCTCTTGATGAAAGACCTAGAGGAATCTGAAATTAATTATTTCGAGTTATTCGCGTCTGTTTAGTTTATTTCTCAGATTCCTCAGAGACTAAAGAAACCTCCATTTACTCGAATTTATATTGTCGGGTTCTTACGTGTTGATGTGTTAATTAAACGAAATATCAATTGTCATCATTGTCTGAAGCCATATTTAACCATAATAGTGGCCTTACTAATCTCCCTTTTTTAACGTCTTACAAAGAAGATCAAATACGAAATGAGGACCAAAGTGGTTAAGAAACACTTGTTAGATGAAAGCTTTAGCCAGTGAGGAAAACTAGGATCGACGGCGGATGCGGCTGTTTCCGGTTCGCTATACCCGACATTTGAGAAAACGTGTACAGGTGATCTCTTTATGGTGAAATTCACATATTTGCATGAATTTTGACAAGTGGTTAAATAAGCTGCTTACAGTGGTTTTACAGCAAAGAGAAAGATCGTGAAAAAGTGTCCTTTTAAAATCCCAGACGAGAAATTTAATTAACCGAACTTTGATGCGGCAATCCAGGTTTTGCCATGGATCCTCTTCCTTCATACCCATGTTTTTAGCTTTTTGCGGGTAATATTGTTACGTCCAAACTAATTTTTCATATCTAGCTCTAAATTAATCGACAAAATATTCAATTTTGACGAAAAAAGTCGCTGCCTATATTTGTTTATGTCTCTTCCGTTCAACCAAAACGGACATAACACCTATGTAAAGAATGTATTAAAGTTGCCAAGAGAGACAAAATGCAGTTGATTTATTAGCGTTTAGTATCTCGATGATCTTTGCAGTGGTTCTTCATCGATTGAAAATAATTAAATCATGGATGAAGGTATTTTCAATTCTGAATGATTAGCAAGAGCGAAACATGTTGTTATGCTTGAAGTTCTTAGACTTAATTTGACTAACAACTATTTACTGTTTTGAGACCTGGAGCATTACCTAAATGAATGTTATGAAAATCTTAATGACCAAACTCAACAATTCACTCAACGGTATTAAGACATCTCATTCACCATTTTAATCAATAACTCTGCGTAAATTTATTTATAAAATTTTTATGCACGACGCATCAGTGCTTGCTTCTACTATCAATGTTAATCAGGTACTCAAAAATCGATTAGATAATCTTCATTCAGCCACTGGTATCATTAATATACTTCGAAACGAAATATTGTTTTAAGTATTTACCTTCCTTAATTGCAATTGAACATTAATTGCTGCATCTCTGCGATTAATTATGGTTTTTTTCATATTCTTTCAACATTTTTTTCATTGCAAAATAAAAAGGCAGGGAACCCCTGAACCTTAATGTGCGTGTTTAATCCAATAGCAATGTCGCGTTACCATAGAATTGGCGTCATTGCTTTTTTTGATAGTTAAGGTTTTTCAAGAACTTTAGATGGCAGAAGATATTGAAGAAGAGGAAGGAGGAGTCTACTTGGGGGTATTTAATTGTTGTCATGTGAAGATTTCAGGTGTACGAAGGTGGAAGGAATGAAAAAGGCGAGCGCCATGGTTTCGGGAAAGCTATTTTACCTAATCGCGATACCTACGAAGGAATGTATGAGAACGGACTTAGATCGGGAAAGGGCTACTACCTGTAAGAGACTTCATTGCACACTTATCTGAAGTTTTAAAAATGGTGCTCGTTACTTAGGTGAATACTTAGAAAATCGCAAGCACGGTCAAGGCACATTTTACTATCCAGATGGTTCTCGATACGAAGGTAATCCATTTTCTAGGAGTTTTAATGTGTTAAGGCTATTGGGTAGAAGACAAAAGAAATGGATATGGCACCTACTATTATATTAATGGTGACATTTACGAGGGCGAATGGCGCAACCATCTTCGTCATGGAGCGGGAACATACACCTTTTCAGCGACTGGTTGCAAGTACATTGGTGTTTGGAGAAATGACATTATGGATGGTTCCGGTGAAGTAGTCAACGAAAAGTATCGCTTTATTGGTACTTGGCGAAAGGGAAAGGTTCTTACTTTCTGAATGACTCGTGATAATTTCAAACCTCAGGCGTTTTAATCAATAACAAATGTCAATAATTAATTTTGGTTGTCTGGAGAGGCATAGGTGCTTTGTATTTGTTATTTCGTGCTAACGTTGTCTAAATTTTCACCCATAAAAATCCTTTCTCAAAATTATACCAGTATTATTGTTTAATTGACTTTTTAGCTTTTCGGAAAAGGAAAATACGTTTTCGATAAGTTAATTTGTCAACAAGTTGGTGATTATCTCATTTTGCCCGGACAACCTGAGGAGAAGAGAAAGGAAGACGGTGACGACTTTCAAGTTTCTCGCTGGCGAGCTGTGGGCATTGAAAAAACTATGGCCGATGAGCCCGATGAAACTGAAGGTACGTTTGTTCTCGCCTTTTAAATGTGTGTGCTTCTCTTTGATAAGTAAATAAAAATGCACTTTTATTGTCTACTACACCAGGACAAATTGAAAACATAGCTGAGTCCCACAAAGTAGTCAGATATAGAATAGGCTGGTAGTCAGGTCATTTCATTATGAGAAATCAGTATTTTAAATAAAATTATGTAAAGATTTTTATTGTAAAGTAAACTAGAGGATAACGTACTCATATAGAATTATTACTTTAAGTAATATTTTAAAAAAGTCTTTTGTAGCTACATAACCCCAGTGTGCTAGATACACGCAATGAAAAATTGAATAAATTACCTAAGACACATAATGCTTACTAATGTTTGCAGTTAAGATTTTTCATTGACAGAATCTATTAGCTTTTATTTGAGGTAAGAACAATAGAAGGTAAAAATTATAGTATGAAAAATGTTTTGACTAATTTTTGCTTTATTTTTAAGTCCAATCATGGAACAAGACTCTGTAAGTCAAACTTTATAATATTTCTGTAGTGGTTAGCTTCGTTGTTTGTCGAATGTATTGAATAGGTTAGACATTTAACGACTAGCTAACTAGTTCCACACATTCTCAAGGTTTTGTGGCACTTGAGGAAACCGGGAATATAGAGAACGATGAGGTGGACACAACCGTTTCTTCTCCTGCAAGGCTCGATGAAATGTCGATGTTTGTGGACATATATTTAAAATAATCAAGTACAAAACTTAACGTAACCGTGCATGAAATCAGTTAAAGTTAAGAGGGAGTCACGGATGTTACAAATATGAAATGATCCTGTTTAAACTGACTACAATTGACTACCTTTCGACGACTAATCAGTATTGACTGCTTGTAAATATAGTAGATCATTGTCTAGTAGGAACTAAGCTTTTTTTGATGACTGTCTTGTCCCACAATTGTTCACGCATCTTGATTGTTTACTCTGGCATTATGCCTATCGTTATCTCTTAGCTTCTGCCAATGTAAGTTTGAATCAACGTTGGTAGATACTAGACTTAAACCACAGATTCTCCTGCTGTTGTGGATAAAATACAGGCTATATGCGGTAATGAAGGTCTGAAACGATTACCGACTTCCACCTTATGAATCAAAATTATTAAACGATTTTTTTGCTTTAGATTTGCTTCGAGCAAGACTTGAAAAATCAACTGAAACAGCCGCCTTACTTTCTTCCCCGTCAGTAAGGTCAAAGAAAAGCCTAATTGTACAAAATGTTTTTGATCTGAGTCAAACAGCAACGGCATTGAAAGTCGCCTACCTTTTAAATATCCTGCAGAGCCATTTGTGGCTATTAGCGTATAACAAGGAGTGAAGTGTGTGATACCAAAACTGCTTCGACAGAGTCTTGTTTTAATAAGTAGTATTGGTAGAATAGGATGGACAATTATTATAAGTGTGTTTAGTTCCACTCTTTGTAGTACTTCTACATAAATAAAACAAAGATATTTAGGCTATGTCCGGTCTAAACCAATGTCTATTATATGGTTAATTAAAAGACGGAGATGTTTAAATGCAAAAATAATGGTAAATTATTTATTGATTCTTCAAAAGTTGCCACCATCAGAGAAATCAAGAGAAATGTATTTGCTTTAGACAAAACGTCACAGCCATGGGTTAACACCCAAAGTCGCACTTCGAACAACATTAGAGTACTCCAAGCTGTTCTGTTAGGGCTGTCCTTAGTGCGTTCACGAAGACGCGCTAAGGAAAACATAGAATGCAGCCTTGAATTAGAATTCAGAGAGCACAGAGTGTGACAGCATCGTCAATTCCTCTGTAGTCATCGACCACTCCGACGCATCTTCTTCCCCCACGCCTCAATTAACTCGAAAATGGAAGTAGTTTAAACGGCTTCAGTGACCATCCACTTGGGTAAACATGGTAGTCTTTGCAGTAGCGCCTTGTTTCTTGCCGTTGTGTGACTCGCCTTGTTTGTTATTCGCCTGCAAAATTCTACACGAAGTGTGTGCCGACTTTGTCGAATTGAGGAATCACCAAGGATGTTGGTGGTTTTGGTGACCATGGTTGATTTAGTAGACGTTGCATATCGGCGCAGCTGCTGTGGTAATTTTGACAATGGAGACATCATTTGTAGGCGATGCAGTGACCAAGTCACATTCCCAGAGGTGCGAATTCCAGTTGAGATGTCGTCAATTTGGGTGAAGCAAATGCCAACTCTGGCTGGCACCCACTGGTCTCAGCACATGGCCAAGCGTAGCAAGTTCAAGAGTGAGTTTGCTTGGGGTGTTTGTTTGTTGTAGGTGCGTGCTCGGGTCACAATGTCACCAGTTGATTGTGCGCAAGCTTAATTACATCGAGTGGAATAGAAGTGGTCATTGAGTTAATTGCAAGTGGCCGGGTGCAGGTAGGTGAGTGAAAGCATCGCAGGATGAGGTTCATCTGGTGCGAAAATGTGGCCTCCTCTGGCTTTAAATTAATGTCATCAGTTTGGCTACAGATGGCCGGGAAAACGCTCTCGTCGGTGTGTGCGTCGAAGAGAACATGCCTCATCTGCACACATTTGGGCACTTGGCAAATAAGGTGTGTGTGTGTGTGTGTGTGCGTGCAAGAATTAACTTCAACACCGCTCGTTGGCGCCACACAAAAGGTGTTCCATTAAAACGCGGTTGTGTGGTGTCTCGGTGCTTTCAACGGCTGTACAGTCACTTTCAGGCTCTCATTGTCTGTTGGCTTTGA